CCTTGACAAATTTAATGCTTCCAATAAGAAATTCTGAATGCATACGATCCGGCCAAATAACGGAATTACAAATAGTACATTAGTAAATACTAAGTCTTATATAATGCAGAACTTTCAGGTCACGTATTTTGCTTTTTTTAATATTGAAAATCTTTGTGTTTCGTGATATAACATTATTTCCGAAAAGTTTGTAAAGTTTTTAAAGTAACGCTAATAAACTTGAAACTTCGTTATTTATTGAACACCCTGTATTTTCAAGTTCCCGAAAATGGAATCTTGCTTACGCGCACGTTTAACATTGTAGGTAAATCTAATTCACAGATATTCTGTTAGGAAACAGACACTTTGAAGCATGATCGCGTCATGATAAGTATTTTGGATGTATTTTGTTCCTTTCTATTTAGTAATAAAAAAATATAGTTAAACGTGCGTAATTTTAAAGATTTTTTTAAATTTAAACGTCAAAAAAAATTTTTTTTATACAAAATTCTACTTCGATTGTTTGAAAAACAGTAACAAAAATATATTTATTAGAATTTTTTATAAAACTCTTTACAATTGAACGTTTAAGGCCCCTATTTGTTATGCACTGAAATTACGTATATCATGTTGATCGTCAGTTTGTGGCTATGATCAAGAAAAGGATAAACTGGTGTTACGCTTGCGTAATCTTAGATGAATGCACCTACGATAATTTTTTTTTGTTCGCTCTACGCCGTATATCTGATATTTTTTTAAATAAACACTAGAAATTATTTCCATCTTTATCAGTTTTATGACTCTATAATTTTGAGCTTGGCCGCACATAAAAAAAAAGTTTTGGCAGCAAGAAGTCTTTGCGCTTACATAGTCTGTGTTAGATCTGCATATATAGATATTGACGCCAAACAGTTCTTGTCAGTAATGCTAAATCTATGCGGCCAGGTATATTGCATCACAAAAAAATTTAAATATTGTGCAAAATAAATATGTTTCGTTCATTAATTTTCAGTTGTAATATTTCAATTTATTCAGACCATCCTTTTCTCTTTCATAGCAATTTCGTTGCTGTTACAAAAACTTAGGAATACATGCAAATAAAAAAATATTCGAATCCTTATAGAATATAAACGAAATAAAAGTAGGTAATTATTTGGTATTACATGTTACTTTTCGTTATAAAAAAAAATATATAAATTACAAAATGAGTCACACTCATTACCTGTTCAAAAAACAAAGAAAATAAAAACAAAAAAAAACTGGGAAAATATTTAACAATAATAATTATGCATAAAAACTTTTCTCCGTTAACTAAAAACAGAAATGAACACTTAGAGTGTTAGAACGGTTTACCGTTGTTTTTATGAATTGCTGTAATAAATAAATACAGTGTGTGATGAACAGTACAAATACAATTCAATTTTATAAGAATACAATACATGGAGTACAATTTGCTAACAAGAGGAATAATAAAAATTACAGATCGCGTAAAACATTACCTTATTACAATATTTAACATTTCTCAAATATTGTAAATAATTTACAAATTGTATTTGATTATATAAGTTGTTACGTGTATATAATTTTATTGGGTGAAATTGTATGAAAAGTAAAAAAAAATACATTAAAATTATGACTCTGGTTAATATCAAATCCTATAACTATAACACCTTCAAAGGTTTTCATTCTTTTACCTTTACATAGGCTGTAAAGATATGTTCACCTACTCATTAGCAAATCGTACTATATTGCGAAAGAACAACAGAAAACATAACAATCGGCCGCGAAGTTTGATATGTTGACAATTAAAATTATGTTTTTTTTACAATCTAAAACATTATAAAAATATATTGCATACATCGTTGTATAAATCTGTATTTATAAAAACTAAAAAATATGAGGAAATGTACTTTTATTACACAGTAATTTTTATAGAAAACATTATTTAAAATTATTATTTTTTGTACTTGTTTTATTTTGCTTGCACCGTATTATATATGACAATGTTGCAATAGGTGTCCAAAATCGCTTCAATTAGGGTCAAACCGCATTTGTCAGTTCAGCACGCTTATTTCACTGCTTCGTTTATTTTTACATATTAAACTAAGTATAGTACCTGACACTATACCGTAATTGGAAAAAATCTCATTCCATTCAGTGGTATTAAAATAACCATACAAATTATATCATGTGCCAATTTTGAATATTTTCAAATTGGATCGAGAAAACTCGCATTCAGAAAAGGCACGGCACTTAAGCGTGCTGTTATTAGCAGAATGTGCCTAATTTAGCAATCTAGGACAAATAAATCTATATTTAATATTATAAAATGTCTATAAAGATTGATGTAATAAGTATTAGTTGAGTTACATGAGAATGTGCTGCTGTTGATATGACTAGCGGTCAAAGGGCATATACTGGACGAAATAAAAACCATAAGCGGAAAGTATTTGTGGTTTTATAACGTAACAAATAATGTTACATCAGTCTCACACCAGTGTATAGTGCAAAATAATCCCGTAATCGATTTGTTTGAACAAGATAATGTGTATTATCATTTTATTCTTTTACATAACTGAATCAGTCTTGTTTAGCCGCACCTCGACTCTGCCTTAAATGCACGCATCGCACTGTGCGTACGTATGTATGCAGTGCGTCACCCACGATGCAATGTGGTGTGTCCACATCAGCCGGTTCTTCAATCCTCCCATTTATGCTTAAATTTCATCCAGTATTTTTTTCATCGCGGGCTATTTCTTTTCACGCAGTTCAACACCCTTCTGAAGGATTTAAACGCTTTTAGGGAACACAACAACTGAATAATATCTAACACCTTCGAGTTGCTGTATGTCTAAAAACGTTTTTTAGGGAAATCTTTTCTGATATCTTTTACATTATAGAACATATATTACAGTATAAATCATCAAAAATATATAAATCTAATGTAATTTGTAATGTGCGATGCCTTATAAAATTTAATTTTTTTTTTAAATCCAGATCGTGGCGTAACTTTAATTTTTTTTTCTTAGAAATATAAAATATAACAATTTACATAATTATACATATTTGAACTGAATATCAATAAAGATTTCTAAATTGCAGCACACACTAATAATAATATTATACACAACATGGATTTTTTTAACCTTCCCGACGGGTTTTGAATGTATTTCTCAAAAATAGAAAAATCCTATTTTGCTTTATCCTAAAAATAGTAATTTAATTTCTAGCCGTAAAAGTAAGTTTGAATTGAGGTAGATTAAATTTTTTACAGTCCTATTAACCTAAAAAAAAGATTAATTTTATTTACATAATATTATTCTACATGAAGCGTGTACAACATTGGATCTCGCCTACTTTAAAATGGTCCACTCACGGGCAAATATGTTGGCCGACAGAGAGTTTTATGCATAGGTACGAGAGCAATATAGCTTGCTTATCATCAGACTACACTTTTGGCTTCAAGGAAATAAAATTTCGTCAAAGCAGAACAACTGAGAATAAAAACGAATAATATGTAAAGACGAATATATTGTACACGTAAAGGTAGAGTGCGGCCTGGTATGAGGTTCATAAATCCATGCCATGGCACTGAGCTTCGGTTGGATACTTTCTAAATCTAATAACGTAAAAGGCAAAATAACATGAACCTAGTTGAATGATATGACTCTCGTTCCTTAAGGTATCTATCTCTACATCGCTCTGTAAGTCAACATGCTTGTCAGTGAACAGGCCCTTAACCTTCCCGCCTTATTATTAGACGCCGAACATTTTAATATAGTCATTATTATCATTATTTTTAAAACGACACATCCAAATTACTTAAATCACTTAAAATTTACATATAAAACTGTGTGTTCAAGTGTCAGGTAGGACATATATTTTTATTTTCATAACCATGGTATAGTGGAACAGTTGTTAAAAAAGATAGTAACATTTATCCAAAAAAAATTACAAACTTTGTAGAATTACATACGAGACGCCGCGCCGTCCTTAGATTATAGGACATACATATCTATGTCAAAGAAAGAGAAGGAAATAATTTAGCCTCTCATGGACGAACACTGCCAGATAACGCATAGGACAGTGAATAGTTAGCTTTACAGAAATAACAAATAAAATTATCTTAGAAAAAAGTTTTTATAACAAATGGAATATGTTGTTATAAAATTCAGACAGTCCACTTACACCAATAGTTACAACCATTATTATTGGACCTGGCAAGAAATATTAAGCTTTAGAACTCTCAGAAATTGTGTAATTGAAAGCGTTAATTTTAAAATTGTAAACCTAGTGCATATTTTTTATTTTATTTTCATAAGCCAAAATAATCCAATAATAAAATGTCATTTTGCCTGTAATGTTAAGAAATGCAAGGCACCTAATAATCTACTTGTATTTTTATTCCTCCGATTTCTTTGAACCCAAAGTTGTTTCAATTCTCACTAAATTTTCTTCCTTCTGACACACACTGACATCCACATAAACAATACACAATTTGGCTCATAATCCTAAAACATATGCCAAGACGATTACTTTTAAAAATTTTGATTTTTTTTTCATACTTTTTTATTGCTCTGAGAAAGCTAAATTTTGAGTACCAACTTAACAATGTTGTAACAAAACTCGAATATTATGTATTACTGACATCCAATGAGCTAAGGATGCTTATGACATTCCAGATTATCTTTTGGCACATTCTTGGAAAACAATATGATGTTTATATCCAAGCTTACAGCTCATTGGACTCAGACCCTATATTGTCTTAATTCTAAGGAAGCAAAAGTGCCTCTGAGGTATTTTTATTGTTTTATTGCATTCTGGTGCTCTAGCCTGAGACATCAGTATTCGAAGTTCAAAATCATTCTGAACAATAGAATGAGATTGACTCCTGTACTTGGCTGTCGTCAGTAACTCTGTTTCAACTTACACTTAAGATATTAAAAGACAGATCTGATGTTAATGTTCCTTGGCAGAATTACAGATAATATTCCACTCATAAAAAGGATATGCTCTCTGTTGTATTACAATTTCGCGTGGAAAAGCAGCACGCCTCTCTAAAACATATTATAATAGCCTACTGCTTTAAAGAGCTATATACCTTCACAAATTCTGCTCAATCATTGCATTGCCCACAGAACTAGTGTCATCCTGAGTGACCGCATCATGAACTACGCACTATCCTTCTAACAGCTCACAGAGTTGGTCCCATTTATACTCCATTAATGTCATACATGTACGCTATAAATTAAAAATAACATTCCGAAAGTACATACACGACTAGATCACATATTCATGTAGAATTCGGAAACATTTTGGTATACCACCTGAGACGTACAAATATACAATTTGGCAATTAAACCCTAGGGCGCATGCCCTCAGCTTCCATACCTAATAACAGTCAATATATTGAAGTCCTTTAATAGTACAAATTGATTACTACTTCTCCATTTCGACTATATTACAGCTTAGACCACCTTACTTAGTGAGGTAGTTTGGTGTTGACGTAAGCTAAATGCAGGAGTCTCTCGCTGATGATGGCAGCAAAGGGTGTGCTAGTGAGGTGGGGGCGGCGGCGGGGGTGGCTTAGGACTTTGCGCGCGAGGTGCCGTTTGGAAGGCCTGCGTAAATGCCGGCAATCGTTGTTGAAGTACAACGCGGCCTTCTTCGCCCGCATACGCCGGCGGCGGCTCCTCTTCCAACAATTCCAACATTTGACTGGATAGCCCTGACGGACCTTCTCCTGGGTCCATTAGAAGCGATTGCACATTCGACGGATCCAATAAATGTGCCTCTAGTGGATCACTCAGTGAATCACTCAGTGGTGGGTTAATAAACGGCAAGTCGGACGGCGTTTGTTGGTATGGAGGGACCATATACTGGAGTACTACTGGATATTCCAGCACCTCGCAAGTGGGCGATGTCGGCTCTTCCAATTTTATTTCTAATGGTTCCACTTTTATGTCCAGATCGCCTGGCATTTCTACAATAATATCTGAGGAAGGTACTCGGGTGGGATCTTCTGAAGTACTCTCTTTGTGGGTGGGAGACTTCCATATATCTTCTACTCCATATTCTGCATGTTCCATAGGAGGAAATTCTGGAAAAGTTTCCTCAAAAGAAGTGGTTTCAGGTGGTGGATCTTTGGATGTTCCTACTGCCGCCGACTTCCACGATTCATCTGGGTGAGCATTTTTAACATGCCGCACCAAATGATCTTTACGTCCAAACTTCTGTGGACAGAATTGACATAAAAAATCTCGTCTACCCGTGTGTACGACCAGATGCCGCCGAACATCCTTTGCAGTGAAGAACCTCCTATCACAATAATCACAAGTAAACTTTTTATCTGTCTCATTCTTTACTGTTCGGCTTCCTGTGTGGACTTTGAGATGGTACACTATTTCTTGGCGATTCGTAAATGTTTCATCGCAAATCTTACACTGTAGATTTCCTTCCTCAGCTGAGTGTAAAGCTGCATGCTTACGGTAACTTAACAATGATGTATATGATTTCTTACAGTCTGGCCTCTCACAAGTGTATCGCTTCTTTACAGGGCTGTGCACTCTAACATGATTAGTCAAATGATCTTTTCGGTTGAAAGTCTTTCCACATACAGAGCAAGCAAAGGCTCGCTGTTCACTATGTATTAGATTGTGCCGGACAAGTTTAAATTTGGAATTGAATCGTTTATCACATAAATTGCAAGAGAAGGGGAGCTCACCAGTGTGCGAGAGAACGTGTTGACTGAGTTTGCCGGGGCTGGAGAAGCGCTTGTCGCAGGTGGTGCATTGGTGCCGCTTAGAGCGGTCGCGGCGAAGCCGGCGCTCGGGAACGGGCGGTGGCGGCTCAATACTTGGGCCGGGGGTCTCTTCGGGGCGCGGCTTGCGTGGCAGGGTTGGCACTCTACGCGCCGCCTTCACCGTGCGGAAGCACTGTTTGATCGCCCCGCTGGGGCCAGGCGCGCCCAACGCCACGTACTGCAGCTTGGTGGGCAGCTGCGACGCGGGCGGTGCTACGAACGTCTTCGGCGGGGTGGTCGCGCGTTCCCCGCTCGGCTCCTCCGCGAACTCGGAGCCCTCCGCGCCTTCGTTAGGGTTCGGTGGCGGACTGGCCATCTCGCGCTCATTTTTGACGCGCTTCGCCTATATCGTTGCTCGGTGATCTCGAGTTGTGCTCGTTACGGCTCCGCAGTGGAGTTGGCTAGTCGCGATGGCAGAAAACATTTCTGTCACATTGACGGTCTGGAAGCCCTTTTTCGTATTCGTGTCACATGGTTCTCCCGGAATTTCTCACGTCCATTGCTAATCCCTACTCGAAACTGCCTTGCGCTCTTCTCACAATGGTTTTATTCGAGTGAAGAAAGTTGAGAAATAATGAAAAACGAAGATTATTGTACTTTTTTCAAAGAAATACGTAGCGCTTGACATCGGGATGTCAAAATAATGAAAAGAAGCCAAATCTAGTCTGGCCAATTTTTATCCACAAATCTACTGAATGACATAACTTAAGCATCTACAAAAATTACATCAAACATTTCAAAGCCTTTGGGTCTTTAATTTTATTGTTTTATGTAAAATAATGTAATATAACTTTATAAATAAATTAATATTATGTAATATTAAGGTAACAAAAAAAAAGGTTAATAGATTGATAAATATCTTTTTTACCTGACTGGAAAGTTTTAGTAAAAATGGCAATAATAAGTTTTATTCATTCACTCAGTCATTCCATTAGATATTTAACTTCGTTTTGTCACTCACTTACTTCACTTCAGTCATTCATTAGTTTTCTCAAAAAGTCAGAAATAACCTGAATCATTCTGAATTTACTGATAAAAATAACATTTTGTTGATTAATTTGAGTTGATTTTAATAGTCAATGTTTTAGTGATCGCTCTATTGCTTACTTTAAATAAATAAGGTAAATATTTTGTGAAAATCTCGGCTGTGTTGGTTATGTTTTGTAATCCTAAACGTTATCCATTTTTCGCTGTTCCATTATAACGATACTATTTAAAGCGTATATTAATAATACCTCGGATTAGTGCATTTATGTCGTTAGCGATAAAATATATTCCCAATTTTAATGATAATGTCGACATGCCGTGCCATACTTGGTGCTTACTGCTTAGTTATTGTAGACTTAAAAACCTAGTAGTTCGCTATAATTCTGCACATGCTGGCAGGAATGAAGTATTTTCCATTCATTAGCAAACGTCTGTAGTGCTTAACTTATTTTCTGGTTGACTAGGTGTGACAGATAATTCAAGATCTTTGTTTCATGATTTAGAGCATTAACGATGTCTGCTGAGCAAGTAGGTTCTGCACATGGCTCTGCGCAAGGCTCCGCTCAGGGTTCGGCGCAGGGCTCTGCCCCAGGCTCCAAGACTGGATCGGCTACTATGGTTGAAGAAGAACAACAGAAATCTGGTAGTGCTACTACTGGTATGTAAAGTAATTTTTTTTGGCATTAGATTGCAATTGACATAATTTAGATGAATGCTAAAAAAGGGTTGAATTATGATAACAATATTCATATGAAACATTTGCCACCCGAATATCAGAAAGTTTGTTTGAAAAATTGATGATTGAAGTTATTCTTTTTTCAATTTAATTGAGGAGCAGAATGTTCCGACATTCGTTTTTTATAATGCAAACTGGTAGTATATTATATTTCTATGAATAATTTATCCAATTTAACTACTGCTAAATCTCCATTGATAACTGCGCATCAAGCCCTGTCAGACCGGTCACTATGTACAGACGCAGGTGCATGATGCGTCGGTGAGAAACTGCCCTTGTTTGCATCATTCTTATTGGAACTTCTAAAGTCTCATCCACACTAGCCACTCATAATGACAAGACCATTTAATATATAATAATGTATTGAGTGAAGGAGCACTCAGTGTATATGATTCAATAGTTTTAATACAAAGTGTGTACAAATTTGTTTATATGTTAGTTATCAAAGTCAAATAATTGTGTGTTTTAGATACATTTATTGTGAATACATTTGTAACTTTTAAATTTTTTTTGTAAATTTTCTGTATCTCAATTTTTTATGATACCGAAAAAGTTTTGCGCCTGTTGGGAAGTGACATGCCTGTCCGTAGTGGGTGCAGTGCCACAATACCTAAGATCTGAAGGGCAATGGCATTGCTCCTGTCACTCAGAGACATAAGTTGACAAATCCTGTGTGCCTGTAATTTCACCAGCACCCTTATCCTTCAAAACCGAATGCAGTAATGCTGACATTACTGCTTGGCGGCAGAAATAGGTAAGGTGGCAGTTCTTCCCTGGACTGAACTTGTTCACAAAGAGCTCTACTGCTACTAAACTCACTCCTATAGTTTATATTCAGATTCAATAAAATGGTGTGTTCAGTCCTGAGATATCCTGGCTCTACTCTTTATCAACCTTGAACTGAAGTAGTCTATCTTCTAACTACGACTTCACCAGCAAGTAAGCTGTATTCAATAGCGTCTTCTTCAAAGAGAAAAACAAGCGACCAATATTCACAGTTTTCTAGTGATTCCTTTACTTTTAAAGTAATCCTTCAACTCTAGTAGCAGTAGAGCAATTTTAGTGACGTTCCGGTTGCTGACGGACTGCAATTTTTATAGGTAGATGTGTCGCTTACAAACTTGGGCCACAGCATACGTCAGCTAGGCCTTACTTCGCGCAGTACGGCTATCTTCACCCAGCTTGCTTTCGTGGCTTTCCAGGTCGTTAGTACGACAGGGCGCGATGTGCGCTAGAGCGAGATGTCTATGCAGTAGCAGTATCTCGCGCTTTATGTCGTTCTCGCGCAAGTCGCGCTCCGTCGTGTCAGCCCTACTGGAAACTTACATTAGACGAGGGGAAGGCTGGGTAGCCTATCAATATGTATTGATAGGTAATCAATAGGTATTGAGGCACAAGGTTGCACCGTACAGCATATTTTTGCTCAAAACGGTCTAATTAATAGTATATTGGGCCCGCCCGCTAGTATGTACCCGGTTGCCTCTTGAAATTCTTGGCTCCGCTTCAGGTAACTTATTTAAATGTAGATTAAAGCACTGGCGTGTCAAGCAATCAATATAATAACCGGAACCGGAATGCAGTAATAACGCACACACGCACACACTCAACATAACCCCGCACTAAGGAAACCCTGTGTCGCGGGTGCCATGGAACTCACATAGACAACCACAAATTACACCCAAACTCACGAGAGAAATAAATATAGGCCATACAAATATTTCTCCCGGCTCGGGAACCGAACCTGGGACCTCTGCGTGGCAATCCGATGGTAACCGGTCGGCCAAGGAGGCAGTTAAAATATAATATAATAATATTATATTATCACATACGTTAAACAATATTAATACAAGATAACTAATTACAATTTGAATAATTTTGAATGTGGCTAGAATACGAAGAAGTAACGCAAATGACGGGACGAACAAGTCGTGCGCCTAGTAGTAAATGTCACGCCTGTCCATAACAGTTGCAGCGCATCTCAGAGCTTTAAATCGTGAAGATCCGACGGGCACTGCCACAGCGTCCGTCACCTTGAGACATAAGTTGACAAGTCCGATGTGCCTGTAATTTCACTAGCATGCCTAAATCTACCCTTCAAAACCGGACGCAGTAATGTTCACATTACTGCTTGGCGGCTGTAAAGAGCAAGGTGGCAGTATTTCCCTGGAAGAATGCTATCACAAGGAGCTCTACTAAATATAAAAATAATACGAATAGAATTTATAATTTTTTATGACTTATAAATTTTACCAATATATGTATAATGTCTATTGCAACTTGTCCGTCCAGTCATTATCACAAAACAAAAACTCTTTAGGCATATTCAATAGCAAAGTAACGTTCACGTAACCGGAACTGGTGATTAGGAATCATTACTGGAAGACATTAATCGCTTTTATCTGTCAATCGTCACGGAAAGTACTGCAATCGTAACATAACGTTAAGCGATGTCGTCAAGAAAACTATTCCTTGGGAGGTGTTTGTTAATTTTCAGCAATTATGAGGTTCTATCACGGGGCTTTTCCATTATTTGCATATTTATTATCGAGTAAGCCCGAGAACTTTTTGGGAGGAATCAGAGGTACAGTTGCTGGTCACTGGATAGTCTATATCTGTGAAATTTGCTTTTTTTATTTATTTATTTATGACGGGGCCAAAATGGGGTGTGGTGAACGCACTGACTGACCTTGAGTTGTTCCCTCGATAGATGTGCCGGTCGCCGCACTTTATGCGTATGCCCAGGTGTTAGGGGGTTGTTGCACCACCCACTCTGGTTTCTCATAGATGCTGATTTTCCGTAAAGATGATTTTTTCCGTATTGCCGTTGCACAATTGCTACGGTGATATCGCGTTAAAACGGCGTAGTTGCAACAGAACACGTCAAAACGGAGTTCAGGTTTGATACGTAGGCATCTTGGCAAATGCACAAATGATCTATTCACTCGTTAATGAAGTTCTAGTATAAAGTTAAGTGCATGTGTTGATTCTTGTAGAACCGAATAATAAATGCTCAATGTTAAAGCTTGATGTTGGTTTCCTTTGTTAGTTACAAAACCTGGGATAATTCCTATAGTTAAATGATGGTGTGCTTGTCCCGGCCACCTCCCGGGAATATGCTACATTAAAACAAAGAAATTTTTACGCGCGTGATACAGCAATCGTGCGCGATCTAGCGCGCTTGTAATGATGTTGGAAGGAAACGGGAAAGACTTCGCGGTTGCACTCATCAGTCGCGCGTGCAATAGTGCGTTCCATAGTGGCTTTTTACACGCAATCGCGCATTAAATAACGTTAATTAAAAAAATATGAATTATTTTTATCAGCTAATCGCGCACGATTGCGCGTGCAGGCTTTCCCGCGCGCAATCCTGTTCGCTCCTGATCACGCGCGATGAAGTGTGTAAAGGGGGCTACTCTTTTTCCAAATTACTCATTCTGGTTTATGTGGCCAATGATTCAAATGAACATTGTTATCGACCTAACTGAACATTCTTATAACCTTTTTAGCCTTCTTCTAAATATGTACATGAGTGTATATTCCTGTGGAAAATCAAGACAATAATACGACAACTGCCTCTGTGGCCGAACGGTTACCATGCCGGACTGCCATGCAGAGGTCCTGGGTTCGATTCCCAGGCCGGGAGAAATATGTGTATGGCCTACATTTATTTATCTCGTGAGTTTGGGTGTAATTTGTGGTTGTCTAAGTGTGTGTCCATGGCACCCGCGCCACAGGGTTTCCCTAGTGCGGGGCTATGTTGAGTGTGTGCGTTATTATTATTATTATTATTAACTGTGTGGTAATTATTAATACAAAGATTACACTTAGAAAAAATTCTTTTGATCCGACCGGATTCGAACCGACGTCTTCTAGCAAACCGTGCCAGACGCTATGTCAACTAAGCTACGGAACGAACCAGCGGACTTCACGAATTTTTCTTTGTGCTTGTTTTCGGATCTTTGCATCTGGTTTTTAACGACTTTTAGCCGTAGCGCCATCTATGAGAAATATAGTGAAGCTAGAAGCTGGTTCGTTCCGTGGCTTAGTGGACATAGCGTCTGGCATGGTTCGCTAGAAGACGTCGGTTCGAATCCGGCCGGATCGTAAGAATTTTTTCTAAGCGTTCGATCTTTGTGTTAATAATTAGAGATATAACAAAACTAGTAGAGTAATTACACAAAAAATAATTGGATGTCATCTTGACATTCAATAAAAACACTTAACTGTGTTGTACTTAAAATATTTTGTAGGTCTACGACTATCTTTTATCTTTTGTCTATCTACGACTGTCTATCCAGACGAGTTGTAACGAAAACGGAACGAATTATTTACAGTGGCATCAGAAGAGAAGTACGGTGGCTGCGAAGGTCCAGACGCAATGTACGTGAAACTGGTATCCTCTGACGGCCATGAGTTCATCGTGAAGAGGGAACACGCGCTTACCTCCGGAACGATCAAGGCAATGCTTAGTGGTCCGGGCCAGTTTGCTGAGAACGAGGCTAATGAAGTAAACTTTAGGGAGATTCCGTAAGTTTACGTAATAATTATGGTTTATTTTTTAGCAGACTTCTCACTGCCAGTATTTTTATACAGGTGCACTATGGACCAACTTTACACAGCGAGCAGAGAACGCTTTGAGCGTCCTCGCTTTTGCAGCGTCTCTGGCATGTTTGCGTATGCGTGTGTAGATCATTTTTACGCAATCATGCGCAAAAAAGTCCGTCACAGATTTTGAGATTTGGAAGGAGCTCCAATGGTATCCTGAAGATGGTTACCTATCAATAGTCCGAAATGACATTTTTCAGAAATAACGTTTGCTCGAATTTTCATAACCTCGAAAGTAATTTTGAGAGGAAACTTTTAAACTTAACATAATCAAACCGAACCTAATCGTGTCTTTTCTCTGAAAGAACAACGGTTTCCTTATAATTCGGTGTAATGAAAATTCGAACAAACGTTATTTCGGAAAAAACAATCGAGTTTGTGATAGGTTACCCCTGAGGATGATAGCATGTAGAATGGACTCGGCCGTTTTCCGTAGGTACACTTTGTTACACGTGGATATAATAGCTCATAAGCTTGTTACTAACAAATATGGACTAATTGGTCTGAGAACAAATGAATTTGAATTTGAAGAAAGGAGGAGGATCTCAATCGATACAATCGATGATTCCGCCAACGTCAAGTTAAGGAAGACATGCGTTATTACTCAGAATTTGACTTCGCCGAGAGGAGAATCTAGAACAACAGCCAACTCAAGCATACACAAACTAACAGTAGTCAATCTTGCAAGTGGCAAGTGCACATTGTCTAGTTTGTTTACCTACCAACGACGTTACGCGTTCTGAGTTGACATTTGAGGCCGTTTGCGCCGTAACATTTAACCGACTTCAAAAAAGAAGAGGTCCTCAATTCGACTATATTTTTTGTGTGTACTTTACGCGATTACTCCGGTATTGTGAACCGATTTTGATAGGTTTTTTTTTTTGTTATTGGAAAGAGGGTACCTCAGTATTGGTCCCATTCAATTTGAAGAAAATACCTACCTCTAAGGGTAACTAGGTCTTTCTGTTAATCGATTCCAATAAAACTTGGCTAATATATATAATTCCAATAAAAAAGCCAATAAGCAAACTATTGAGGTCGGTTTAACTGTAACGGTGTAACTTCTGTGGCTCAGTTGGTAAGAGCAATGCTACGGTGCAGCATGGTGGTGGGTTCAAGTCCCACCGGGTCGAAGAAATTTGTCTGTGTTCGATCTTTGTATTAATAAATTATAACAAACTAGTGGAGTTCACAAAAAAAAAATTGAATATCATGGTAGTGATATGGTGATAATAAACTTAATATTACAAACTCAAACGTTGCCATTATTTTTTTTTTTAAATAAGTACGATTTCATAAAACCAACTAAAAAATTGGGAGACAGCTATATTACAAATCGCGTTTGTTCACAGATCACACGTTTTGCAAAAAGTGTGCATGTACTTCACGTACAAGGTGCGTTACACAAACTCTTCGACGGAGATTCCGGAGTTCCCGATTGCCCCAGAGATCGCTCTCGAACTCCTCATGGCTGCTAATTTCCTGGACTGCTAAATTGGACTCGACAAGATCTCAATGTTTTGTGGGATTATATTGTACAAACGATAAAGGATACTCTTGAAGTTACTAAATCTGAAAATTGCAATTTCAAGTTTGTTTGCTTTATTGTTTTGTCTACTGTACTAAACAATCTCATTTCTAATAAGTATCTGTTTTTAAATATTATAATAGGTATCTAGAGAGCATGAACATGTAAAACGCTCCATTCTTCAGTAGTTTCTAAAAACAAAGCATTTTTCTCAGTTTTAATTTAATACGACATAGTCTGTAAAATGTTTCCTCTTCTACGAATTTTTAGTTCTAACAGCACCTGTACAAACCTATAGAGTTCATTATAATAGCATGTAAATTTTAATTGTAATTTAAAAGATGGATTTTTTTCGTCAGTTTTGTAAGTTGAATTTGAATATGAAATTGACCAAAAAAATCCATTGGTGTTAAAAAAATTAAATTAAAAAAAAATGATTTTTTTAATTAGCTAAAACGTGCTTGAATGAAAACATTTTTGATGTGTGTTATTTTTAACGACGATTTCTCTCGATTGAAGTTTTTTTTCGTCAGGGTAGATGAACTAGGTTTTATGCAATTCGAAACTATGCTATAAACTACATCAAGATTATTTAGAAGGAAGCTAGAACGAGTCACTTCCAGTCTTCTGATTGTCGTCAACTTATTTTGGAGTTTCTTTAATAATTGGAGTTGGCAATAATCAGCGATTTGACTGTTGCCAGTTTATAGAAACGTAATTACCAGCATCCTCCAAATACTTGTACAAACGTTGCTGGCTGTGCAATTTTGTGTAAACAACTTGAAAATGACTATATCGGTATCACAACCTGTTGGTTTTTGTAGTTATGGATTTGAACCGAGGGTGCCAAATAAATTTTGGTATATTTAAAGCAAGAATAATCAATAACAAGTATCTGTAAAACATACAATATGTCAATCAAAAGGGAGACAAAAATAATTAATTCTTGTTATACATAGTTATTTAAAAAAAAACCCAACTTAGAACAAAAATTATCATCTTAAGATGCACCCTATTATGTTTTAGTACTAAACTCATTGTATTTAGTGTAACTTTTTGTGAAACTGCTAAAAGTAAACTTAATATTATTTATTGTTTCAAGTGCAGTTTATCAAATCGTACGTTTGTCGCTTATTTTTGTCAATAAAATGTAAAAATAATTTTGAAAAATCATAATAGATTTTTATTTATTAAAAACTGGTACCTTTTACTAAATAACTAGATAAGGAAAGTGTCTTTCGATTGTGGTTTAATGTTAGTTATTAGGATTATTTTTGTTAGTTCATTGTTAAAAAACAGCAGCGTGAGAGCTTTTTGCGTAATAGCATAATTTTTTACACACGTGTTAACGTAATTCAAATGAGATATAGTCGCAACCTTTGCACATATTAACTACCTCAATAGCCAAACGGTTACTATGCTGGACTGCCACACAGTGGTCCCGGGTTCGATTCCCGAGCCGGGAGAAGTATTTGTATGGCCTACATTTATTTCTCTCGTGAGTTTGGGTGTAATTTGTCTATGTGTGTGTACAGGATTTTCTTAACGAGTGTGTGCGTTATGAGATCACAAATTCAGTGATGCCGTAAGTGCGTGTCATCTGTGCGATACAATATGCAGAGTGCATACGCGTTATAATAACTATCACTGCTGCGGGTGAGCCTGCAGCGCAGGCTACACTGCGAAAGGAGCTAAGTTAACTTAGCTTAACTTACGTAGCCGGGGCATCTATATCATATCATATCTGTTCATACTTCGGTTAACACCGCGAACTAAGCTAACCGAGCTTACTAAACTAACCTAACGATCCCGCTAGCTATGTAAAGTATGTCGACCTTAACCCCTACACGTATCCATAGTGTAGCAAGCACGTCACTACTTACTTATTTTCTAAGCTTAGATTTGAATGCAACTACGTGAGTTAAGCTAAGTTTGCTTAGCGTCGTTCGCGGTGTGGCCTGCGCTTGCGCCTTTCCCCCGCAGTTTTCTCGGCTTCGAACGCGCAAATTTCAATTGCTTTGTCGACGTGTTGAATGAATACACAAGCAACGTTCTGCTTTTTAAACGCTTTCTACTACGATAAAAATGAGAGAGAGCCTCCAAGGATACTGACCGTAAATGAGAGAGGCGACTACCAAGCGGACGTAAGTCTTTAATAGATGACTCTAGTAGTTTCATAGTTTCAGGCGCGGTCCGTTTCACCTACAGGGTCCGTTTTACCTTCCGTTCCCTTGCATGTCAATACCATGCCGAAACGACAATGAAACAAAAAGATGCAGCCAATATAGATGAATATATTTATTGCTGATCATTTCATTAACAAATAACACAGACTTAGACCAGAAACAACAAAATAAATACCTAATCCATGGTAAACAGACAAAAACCAAAGGTACAAAGATTTCTAATAACATGAATTTTCTATACACTGTTACATTATCATTATATAATTTTACACATATACATTTATTGTAAAATATACAATACACAGTTCTATGAGATTAACATCGAACGATAACCTAATTTAACTAGACCTGAATTTTAACTAAAAAAATAAAATTGTACTAAAATACTACCTTCCCAAGTGGCACGAGGCCGTAGAATATTTTAGAAATCTATCAAGACCGAAGAGGTCCAAAGTTTGAGGTTCATTGAACCTTAAATGCACAATACACCAGTCACCGAAAGGGAATGTTCAGTTTAGACGTACGTCCCGCCGACTTTACGCCTCAGCCTGTGAACGAACTGGAAAGCTAGAAAAAATCATTTTACTGTCCGTCGTTTCATTTTTCTCACTTTTCCGGTTTTATTCTTTGTTTTCAACGATATGCTATCCAGGTTCGGCAATTCGCTGTCTGTCAGCCGATCCGACTGTTTGCCCTGCACGGGATTGTCATTGGCATCGTGTTCGGAGCTGTCCACCCCGTTCTCCATTCTCACCGTGTTCACGTAGCTGTGCGGGGGACTCGTGTCCATGTCTTCGTCAGAATTCTGGTAATTACCATTTGGTTCTCTTTTATATTGGAAAGTGTGCCTGTAATTGACTTCCTCGTCAGAATCGGCGGCTGGCCTCGATATCTTGTAGTTGATGTTTTGGAGGGATTGGTTTTTTTGCAGTTCCCCGTGGAAAGTGTCTCGTATGTTCATTTCCGAGGTTGATTTTGTGCAGTATTCCTCCTTGTCCGACTCGGAGTATTTTCTCGAGAGCCGCCTGTCGACGCTGTGGTCGCGGTCGGCGAGGACCGTGACCGTGGTCTGGGTTTGCTGGGGGGACCTCAGCTTGACCTCTGGCCCTCCGCCGTAGATGTCAGTAAAGAACCTCCAAAGTTCTTCACTAAGCTGCGCATGGTCAGAGCCTGGCTTTAACACGTATTGCGCTGTGCCATCTATGTCCTGAAAATTTACCGAAATAAATGTTAATAAATTGTAATGGATGTCTTAAAACATCTAAGATTCATCGTTTCGGGCAAATACTAATTAATATGCGATGTCAAGTCGCATCGTCCCTCATTGACGTATTTTCCGCTCTTATTCCATAGACATTTTTATTGCAAAGCTTTTCCGATCGGCTCTTGCCGATTCAGAGTCCATAAATGAGGTGAAACCTGGACAGAACTGGTCGAGTATATAACCAGAAATAGAGACGAAATAAGTGCCATCCATCCCTGCCAACTCGTCAGGCAAATGGGCATTATATCACTTTTAAATATCAACTCTCGTTTGCGCTGAAATCACAAATTAGAAAGCTGAAATAGTACAGCAACCAACAACTGACCTGTGTATATTCCAAAAATATTCTGTATTTATTGTAAAAAATAAATCTCTAATAATGGGGGGCTGTTCCATTCGGTGATGTGGGAAAAACAACAAAACATCTAATTACAAAACAAACGAATTACAAAACGTCTATTTGAAGTGAAACAATTGACGACACCTGTCAATTGTTTCGAATTCGTTCTGGCCAAGCGGAGCGCAGTTGTCACCGTAACGATTTGGCAGAATAGTTTACAAACAAATTAAACGACATTCCATCTCTATTTCTGGTTATATACTCGATGACATTACTTAAATAGTAGCGCACTATTTGTGCCATAGTACAACGCACACACTCAACATAGCCCCGCACTAGGGAAACCCTGTGTCGCGGGTGCCATGGACACACACATAGACAACCACAAATTGTGATTTAGTACACACCCGTCATATTCCAGTTTCGTCAGAAATCGTTTTTTTCATGATTTTAGTTCAGGTTCGTCAGGAATGACGAATGCGGACAACCAACAACGACACTTTCGTCAAATTCCGTTTTCGTTATATGGATTTAGTACACATCCGTCAGATTCCTCTTTCGATAGATCATTTCTTTTTTCCGTATAGGTCGGGAAATTTACTTATCTCCTTAGTATAATTAATAAAATAATATATACCTTTTTGAATAAGTTACTGGCCACTTAATATTATTTATTTTTATCTATGATTAAATTGAAGTGCTTCTTATAATGCCATTTCCTGATTTTCTTTCACTGTTATCAACACGGCCTACGTCTAGACATTTAAATTTTTTTTTGGGAAAATGGAGTGTGACGTTGTGTTTATTAAAAGGAAAAGAGATAAAGATTTATTGTTGCTGGAAGGCTATAAGTATACCTTTCAACAAAACAATAAAAATGGCACCAGCAACTGGCGCTGCAAACGCCGGGATATTTGCAGTGCATCTATTACATTAATTTGTACGCGTAATAAAGTAAATCGCAAACCTAACCACAAGCACCAGTAAAAGCCGAATTACAACAATGTTGAAATCCTGAAATGCTTGGATAATTTCAGGAAACGGTGTTCTGCAGAATATGGACCTATTGAACCTATATTCGATGAGTGCATGCAAACTTTATTGAGGTATGAACTTGGTAAAGAAGGTGCCGTTGTTCATTGAAAAGAAAATTGGTTTATATTCAGATGTTTAAAAGAAGTGAAACTGCCCCCAAAACAACAAAAATATTTGTTTTGTGATTTTGATGACAACGAACATGGAAAAAGAATTTTAATATATGCCAGTCCAACTGCCACAAAAACGTTTCAACGAGCTAAATTGATATTGGGTGATAGTACATTTAAAGTTGTTTCAAAACCGTTCACTCAATTATACACACTTCACGCAGATTTAGGCAGCACAAGGAATAGAAAGATAATTGTACCACTAGCTTTTTGTGAACCACATTTATGTGGTATTTGTTTCCTCGCAAATGTGATGAATATATTGTATGCATCACAGACGGTATAAAAAAATATAAAACTCGAGTTATTAAATCGGTTTTCTGCAAAATAACGATTTCACAGTAGAGCGTCTTGAAAACAAAAACTTGATGTTTTTCGATGTAACAGACTGAATTACCTAAAATGTTGAACAATGAGGCAAAAAATATAAAGCTAATATCTGAAGGATATCTATAACTATAACATAATATAATATAATATAATATTGTAAGCTGTACACCCCTCTCGGCTGTGCACTGTCCTTCGTCACGTTATAAAAGCAGAACAGATCCAGAGCGAGGCATTTGCTTGTCGGCGCCCGCTCGGATATCATCGGTGACGCGAGCAATTTGTTAACGATTTTCTTATGTATTTTGTTACTTGTGACTATTTTCATTCTCATGTGATTTGATTTGATAAAGTGTTGTGAGTAATTACGTAAGCACGGTAAAACGTCTTGTACCACAAGATCTTCGTTCGTTTAGGCTTAAGAAATCAACAATTTGTAAATGTAATAAAAGTTCGTTAAAATTTTGTTAGATGTTCTTTTTTTTTTAATTTCGAGTCCCTTTTCTAGGATTAATATAATATAATATAATATAACATAACATGTTATTCTCTCGTTTTTACTTTCAAAACTGTAAAATCGTGATTTTGCGGACAAGGGGTCAGTTTTTATTCTGTCCAAATAATAATAAAATATTGATGACACCGGGTTATATTTCGCTTTAAACGCTGTTTGTTTGCAGATTAAGTTAATTAAATATGGTGTAGAACTGTAAGAAAACTCGACTAGAGTGCCTACGTACATAATATATTCGAGCAGAATCAATGCCTATGTGACCCCGAGTCAACGTTGTGGGCTGTTTGTGAGATGTAACAAAATAAGGTACCTGTTTTGTGAGAATGCCGGTGTTGTCGACGGGCGGCGGCGGCTGCTGCGTCTTGTTGCGTACGAAGGCCTGCCACTGCCGGAACCAGTGCATACTAATCGCGTATATAGCTCGCGGACGTTCCTGCTCCTGCGCATTGTTTGTTGTTACACAGAATGCTGCACCAACAGTGAACATGAATATTGAATTGCTATAAAAAAGCAAAAGTAACCTGGAAGATGGCGTGTAGCTCGGCGAAAGCCTGCCGCTCGTTAGCGCGGCGCGTGCGCAGGCGCAGCGCGATGCGCGCGCACACGCCGCACTCGTGCGCGTGGGATACCGCCGGCCCACCGCCGAATCTGCGCATCCACACTTACATTTGAAATCTCCCAACGAGTTTTCAGAGTGCAAATGAAGCTTTAGGAATAAATACCAAGGCGGTACTATGTTTTCCAACATCAAGAACTAAACTTATAATGGTCCATGGCGTCCACAATATTTATAACATTATTTTTAAATAGCAGTTTTTGCCAGTTTATAAGCTCTGAAGCTATTCATATGTGACACACCTAGTGTTTTGTCATGGATAAATTTCCATTTTGAAAAAATCATATTTTTCAGAAAAATAATATTTTTCCAGATATTTTTTCAATATTTTTCCACATTTGACGATGACATCTGTCGAAAAATGAAGTTACTTAAAGAAAACGATTAGTAAAGTTACTTAAAGAGAACTTAAACAGACGACGAGAAAGCTAACAAGAGGTTGTGGTGGTGGTGTGATTGATGGAGGTTTTAATGGCTGTTGTGAAATCATTTTAAATTTCGTTTTTCTACAGATGGCTTTTAACTATACAAGTTTATTTCATAATTCACGCTAAATAAAACTTCAAAATATGTTTCTAAACGTACAACATAAATACGACACTTTGAAAATATATTTTTCGAATTTTTCGGGAATTTTACCGGAAAAATTTCCACTATTTGAAAATTTTCGGAAAATTGTCCAACAGAAACATACCGAAATTCTACTCTCGTATTAATTCAAACTATGAGAACATGAAATAAAAAGGGGATGTCACACAATAGGTTATCATTAAACACTGTGTGACGTCAGCCAAAAATTTATATAAATTAAACCAAGTCAGTTGGTTAAGAGCAGTAGCCCCGATATGGCAACAGACACTGGTTCGACTGCAGTTAGATCTAAAGAATTTTTCTATGTGTTCGACCAACTAATATTATTATTAAAATTTACAGAAAAATTATATTAATATCATGGTAGTAAAATGTCACGATATTCAATAAATAAATATTAGGTATACTTACTGGTTGTGCAGGAACTCCCATAACGGTTGTGGTACGATGGCAGCTAGCTTATGCAGATGAGAAGCGCGATCTGGCCGGACGCCGCCGTGGCAGCACACGAAATCGCTGTTGTCCACCGGGCCGGGTTCCGCCCACGTGTTGAATCTAGGAATACAAAAGCCGTCCTGAGATGCTATACTTTCTTATTATGCTATTTATTTGGGTTTCGGTGTAACTTGTGGTTGTCTGCATGTATGTGTCCATGGCACCCGCGAAAAAGGGTTATCCTAGTGTGCGCGAGTTTTATATTATTATATTATGTTTATAACTGTATTTCGAAACACCAGTGAGGCACACTTAGACACAAAATGGTTGATCACAGAACGTCCAACCTTGTTGAACTCCCACTACTAACGGATTCACAGGTTTTTATTACAATTTTTTTATGAAGAATATTTTGCAGATATTACTAAAAATATGTAACTTAAATCTAGAATGAATAGGATATACGAAATATCATATTGATATAGTAAACAATATACAAAGACTCTGATACTTCATTAAAATAAACCAAATTATCGTTGGTGAATTTTTTTCAAGTTATTTCATTACCGGCGGCGGTGCAGCGCACATGTCCATTTGGTACTATTAATAATAATGTGCCAGACAATCACAGTAATTACCCAGACTAATTTAGAAAAGTTCATTTCCTAAATTGGTCGTCATATCGGTCATAGTACAAATCGTTTGGTCGGCGAAGTAGTCTATTTGACATTTAAGAGTATTTTCTTTAAAATATTTATTATCTAACTGAGTAATTATCGTTGACAACTCACTTGTTAATCCACTGCTTAGATATGTAAAATTTAATATCGTTGGGCTCAACATTGGTCGACTCTAATATTTCTGACGCTTTCTGCCGCAGCTCTGCCATGTGTGGATTTACTTTTCTGCAAAAGACAAGCACCTTAACATTTTAAAGAGCAATCTCCACCTATTGCGGATTGCTGAAATAATTTCTCCAGGCGTTTGAGTAGGCTTTTCTACTACATCATTATTAATAATTAACAATACCCAGAAAGCGCGCTAACTTCAAAATGTACATTAAAATTTACTAAATACATAATACATGCTTCAATCCCAAGTAAGAATGCTCTCAGTTTTCTATTGAAAACGCATATTGAATACATAGCGTATCATTTATTTTGCCACCTTTTTTAAAGTATGTGGTGTAGTACTCTATAACTAAACGCAAAATAAGTATAGACAATTTTTATTTATTCTCGCAATTATGGACACAGATGCTAGTGAGCAGTTGGCTGTATCACAGTTTTTGTTTAGTCTGTTTACAATAGCTCTTTGTTAGTATGTATATTTAAATCTTTCGAGCAGTAGCGGTCGCAATAGTAAGTTGAGTAATACGTTTGGCGCACTATAAGTTTCAGGAATAAACAAGAAAAAAAATGCTATAAATGGTCAGAAATGAATTTATTTTTTCTTTAAATATTCTCCGTTATCGTTAATGCACTTTTTTATACGAATGAACCAATTTTGAAAACATTTATGCCACTCCTCCGTGACAATCTCTGAAACATATTTTTCATACTCTTCGACAGCCTCTTCAGGTGATGAAAATCGTTGACCGCGTAATTGTTTCTTAATTTTTGGAAATAAATAAAAGTCGCAAGGTGCCAGGTCGGGACTGTACTGCAAGGTGGACTATATGGACAAGGGGACCGATCGGGAAAGTAGACGAAATGGGAAATGGACGAATCGGGTAAAACAAGTGGACCGATTGGGAAAGTAGACCAAACAGGAAAGTAGACGAAATGGGAAATAGACGAATCGGGAAAAACAAGTGGACCGATCAGGACAGTAGACGAATAGTGCAAGTGGGCCAATCGGGAAAGTAGACCAATTGTACCGAAGGGATCGTGGTGCAAGACGATACGGCATTTACGGTTATTTTTACGGAGTTTGTCAATAACTTCCGGGAAACAAATGGTCGTGCACCAATCACTATTCATGGCACAACGATTCTACAAAGCAACAGCAGCCACCTGTCCAGTTTTATTCAAAAAAGAAGCAATCATCCGCTTAGAGGCACTTTGCACGCGCGCCACTTTGGTTTGGTTTCGGCTCATCTCGAAAGACCCATACGCTCGATTGCTGCTTTGTTTTGGGATCGTAACTATAAATGCATATTTCGTCACTTGTTACTATGTCCCGCACCAAATTTGACGTCCCTTCGTTGAATCTGGTAAGCATGGTATCACACCAAGTGAAGCGATCCGTTTTTTGAGCCTCAATCAAATTGTGTGGCATCCACCGAGAGCACAGCTTTTTCACACCCAAATGTTGTATTGATTGTATTTGACTCATGCCTAAAGATGCCCGAATCTCATGGTATATCACATGCCTGTCTGTTTTGATCATACGGCGCACAGCATCGATGTTTTTGTAGTTCACAGCAGTGGACGGGCGACCATCACGAAATTCGTCACTGAGATTTACACGACCGTGTTTGAATTCTGCAAACCAGCTATAAATAGTCGTTTTGCATGGTGCTTCATTGCTAAAAGCAGTTTGAAGCCGAGCGAAGCTCCGCTGAGCTGTTACATTACACTTGAAGTCGTAGAAAATCATACTACGAAAATTTTCACGAGCTAAAACCATGGGGTGATGTAGACAACAAATTTCTAAAATGACGCCACAATGTAAAAACAGATGAAACAAACTGTATTCCAAAGCCAAAGAGTTCCATTTTCAAATGTTGTAATTACTTTTTAAATATTGTTTATGTGGCCAGTTCCGGAAACTTATAGTGCGCCCTATGTAAGAACGATAAAGAAGAAATTACTAACGAAGATCTATTACAAGACCGAAGCCAAAAGCTGAATTTAATAACTAGTTTAGTATTTTTTTACCGTCCGTGATACATACAATTTTTTTCATCACGTTTGCGTGGAAATAAATACAATATAAATTTGGTTCACAACACAACAATTATGGATTTGGCAATTCATACATCTCGACTCTATACAACTCGAACTAAAATGTTGTAAAAAGCAAACACGCTGGCTGTATGGCTGTATCCATGATGTATTGAAAAAAATTTGCTAAATATAAGCAATGCTTAATAAGTATTTAAGTAGTACGTGTCTGAATTGCAATCAAATTTCTGTTTAGATAACACTTTAAGCGAATGTTTAATTTTGAACTTAAGTAACCTCTCTGGTTGAACTTGAACCTGAGCTATGTAAGGAAGTATGTCGTGCTACAAATTTAAAAAATCTCCTTACCGATCATGGCTGTAATGGAAAGAAAAAGGGCACTTGGGTTTTATTTGGGGTATTAGTCAAGTTAGCCGCCATGCAATCATACCAAATCACGCTCATTAATGACTTCAAAACGTGTTCGGTTTTGAAAATAAAGCAAACATTTCCGATCATGTTCGAGAAAATAAAATTACCTGTAGAACAGCACATAGGCTTCGCTGTTGGCCAGCTGGTGTGGCGATACGGGCGCTACACACTGGTCGTCGAAGGCGTACCAGCCGCGAGCATTGCGCGCTACGCATGTGTAGTGTCCACCGCCTGCCGTGCCCGCGTGGCAGATCACAGCGCACAAATCGTAGCGAGTGATCTTCGACGTGCAGTCTGGCAACAACGCATTAGATTGTACTTGAAAAATGCATAACCGTTCTGTATATAATAACTGTTAAAATTATTAACAGTCTTCTGCAAATCGTATATAGTGTAAATAGGAATAATGTTTGATAAATTAAAAATAAGGTATTTTTTTGGCTCGTACGTTTCTACGTCTTTTTTTAAGACGGAGAAAAATGAAAGTTCTTTGTGAAAATTGACCATCGACTGAATATTGGTCACAATTATAGAACAAATAACCGAACTTGTTTCATTTGAACCTAGACCCATTATTCATGCAATTACTGAGCACAAGTTCATTTGAATTGTCAATTTTTGTAAGGTCATACATACGGACACTGTATACAATACAATACAATACAATATGCTTTATTTCTCTCAATAAGGTATAGTTACAGTGTATGAATACATTAAAAATACAATTATTAATTAATAAAAATAACAAATAACAAGTGCCTTAGTGAGAGCTGGAGTCTATACTAGGTTGGAAACCTGTGTTACAGATCACCAGGCTCACTCTCTCTTAGTGTAATAGAAAACCTAACAAATCATATAAAAATACATTAACAACATTAATCTTTTTTGAATTCCTGTAAATATCACGTTTTGTGCGATCTTCTTAAATAAATTATAATTATTATTATGTGGCATTTCAACGTTTTTATTATGATACAAAGTGACGGGACGAACAAGTCATGCGCTTGGTGGTAAGCGACACGCCTGTCCATAACAGTTGGAGCGCCATGCTAAGCTTTAAATCACAAAGATCCAGGGGCACTGCTACTGCTACTACTGTGCCTGTAATTTCACCAGCACCCTATATGCTCACATTACTGCTTGACGGCAGAAATAGATAAGGTGGGAGTACTTCCCTGGACAAACTCTTTCACAAGGAGCTCTACTGCTACTAGACTCACCTGCAAATAACTACAACAGCTACAAACTCACCTTTATGCGTATAGGGCGCCATGTTCAAGTCGTGTATAGGAAACGATACTCTGGCGCCGACTTTCGCACTGAACATTAATTCGTGACGGAACCTTTTTAGATGCACGCAAAGCACTTCGGGTAGACGCACCACACCTGACATCTTTACACCATTGCGGAGTTTATTGCAGCGCGAGCAGCTGAAATTATATATATTTTTTTGTTTAACTACCCAAAATGAGGTGGACGACGTCTAAATGAGTCTTCTCCTTCTTTGGGTTGCTCTCACGGGATAACAAACTGCGAAGGTTAAGGTTATATATATATCTATCATAACCAACTTTTGTTCTGCGTCAACGCTCTCATAAGACGAACATGTGCTTCACTACGTAAACCAAAATTATTTTGAGTGAATCATGGTTTATTGTTCTGATTTGAGCTTTCGAAATAATAGCAATAACAAAAATGTTTCCGGTGAAGGCGTTTCATTGCGTAGGTAAGTGTGTTTTAATATTTGATAATTTTGTTCCACTGTGACAAAATAACTACTGAATAATTGCGCCATCTAGTGTTGAGTAACAGAACTCCTAAGTAAAATAGTTCATTCGTTTTTCCTTAGATTATGAAAACTAAAGGACATCTTATGTTGACATATATAAATCAGACGTTATATGTATATGATGCATTTCGGCATTGAAAACATAAACATGTTATTGTCTTTGTTTAACTCTTGCGTGTCGTCTTAAGCCAAAACAGATAGCATTACATTGGTCTGTGTCAAACACGGGGATCGAAAATACGTAACGTCATCTTAAATGCCAACCGTGTCCATTTCGCAGTACATGAGGTACATAATACGGTTGTCAAAGGGAAGTACATCAAATGTGAAAACAAATGTTTTTCCAAGTGTTTTATTTGAATTATTCGCATGTATTGTAATAAAATGGTCAAAAATGTTGACAGTGAGAACAATTCAGTATTAACAAAAATTCGTCGCTGCAGCATTACGGATTGTGGCATTTCAAAAAGCGAAGAGAAGAAGAAGATTCTTGGAAGCGTACATATCATCAATATTCTGTTATTAAAATAATTCACTACGAGGTTTTTATTATATTATTATCATTATTTTTACTATTTCAAGTTTACCTAGAAATCAAAAAAGAAAAAAGAATGGTTGGAAATCATACCGTATAATAATGCCGAATATAAACATTTAATCAAAGACCATCTTCATTTATTTTATTCGCTTCATTTTGAAGAGTCAAATTTTAACTTAACTTTGAATGTAACTAGATTACATGATAACGTAATTCCATCATTAGGTTTATTGGTAAATAATTTTATATGTAATTTAGATTAAACAAGACTTATTTACTAGGCATACTCAGTTCTGAAAACAAAATTATCCACACGTTTCCGATTTTTTCCCATTGATAACTCTAACTACTAAAAATTCCTATTTTATATAGCCAGCAATACAAAGACCATTTTGGTGTAACGTTGCCGAGTGAAGGCAACCTCCTAGCTACAACAGTAGCTAGGCGAGTGACACCGAACGATGGCAAGGCAAGGCAAGGCAAATAGGCTGTCTATACGTTGGTATTGGCCTTTACCCGGCAACGTTGGACTAACATGTCATTGTATTGCAGGCTTTAAAAAATAGTCATTTTTGATAGTTTGAGTTGTCATTGGGAAAAATCAGAAACGAGTGGATAATGTTGTTTTCAGAAACTGAGAATAACTAGTAAATGAGTCTTGTTTAACCTAAATTGAACATAAAATTATTTACCAATAAACCTAATTATGGAATAGCACTGTCATGTAATCTAGTTACATTCAAAGTTCTGTTAAAATTTGACTCTTCAAAATGAAGCGAACAAATGAAAATGGTCTTTGATCCAACGTTTATATTCGGCAGTCCTATGATTTCCAACCATTCTTTCTTCCTTTTTTCATTTGTAGGAAAACTTGAAATAATAAAAATAATAATAAAACAATAAAAATCTCGTGGTGAATTGTTTTAATAACAGAATATCGATAATATGTATGCTTAGAAGATCAACACTATCTCAAAATCGTTAACAACAATCATCAAAATATACAAACAAAAAGGCAATAAAAGTAACAAAAGCAAAATTTGGCAAGATTTATAAATAAACTACTTAAATAAGTCTAATTAGATGAAATATTTGGGCTATTGTGTGATTTATAGACAAAAAAGTAACACATCCCTGTGCAATGTAACATTCGATTGATTTGCACTTTTTCTAAAGCCACATCCCTTAATGCTGCAGCGTCGCATTTTTATTAATACCTAATTATTCTCACTGTCAATATTTTTGTCCAATTTAATTATAATACATGCGAATAATTCAATACTACATTTGGAAAAACATTTGTTGTACTTCCCTTTGACAACGGTATCATGTGCCTCATGTACTGCGAAATGGACACGGTTGGCATTTAGGATGACGTTACGTATTTTCGATTTCCGTGTTTGACACAAACCAATGTAATGCTATCTCTTTTGGCTTAACTCGGCACGTAATAGTTATAAGACAATAACATGTTTATGTTTTCGGCGTCGAAATGCATCATATACATATAACGTCTGGTTTATATATGTCAACGTAACATGTCCTTTAGTTTCCATAGTCTAAGGTGTCGTGTAGCATGCAAATGTCATAATCAGACATTTGCATGCAAATGTCATAATCAGACATTTGCATGCTATTTAATATATGCGAAACATGTTTATACTAAAACTGTCTCTTGTTACATCTCCTGTTATATCATGTTTTAAGCAAATAAACGTATGATAATAATATTATTACTATTATTAATACTTTCATTTATTGTCAAAATTAAATGAAAGTATTGAAGATTCACTTAAATCAATCACTGATATTAAATTCTATACCAATGCATAAATACAAAAAAGCTTACACTATTTGGAATCCGTTTAAAAATTTCTCTATGAAAATATGAATCTTGAGGTTGGAAATGTATAGGATTTATATTTCAAAGTTTTCTCCTTTTTATTTACTCTCAAATTACAAAATATTATTTTTTTCTGTGCAAATTAACTTTTCGTAATATTTGAGTATTTGTAAACGCAAAACAATAAATTCAAAATTTCATGTGACATTCCCGGATATTCCCTTATAACCTAAAATATTCCCAAATGGAATATTGATCTACTTTAATTAAATGTTTGCATGTCGATCGATAATGACTTTTCGATAGATTATGGTACGACACTAAAGAAATCCGCCATTTGTTCGTTCAATTTTTGTATAATTTTTTGTTAGGTATGCACGTTCATTCCGTAGTTAGGGCAGCCCCTTTCTTTTATTTTTTTTCCATCCTCTAAGCGTTTTTCATACAATTACATACAGTGTGATCAGTTTCGATGTTAGTAAACATTACTAGATTCAAAGAAGTTTATTTTTTTTCCAAAGCCGTAATTTCGTTTGATAATTACATAAATATTCAGTCAAGATCATAGTTTCTGGTAATGTAGTGTAAAATTAGTTCACAAGTGTGTGAGTGTGGTGACGTTGGTTGATACTAATACCGCTTATACCATTTCCATTAGTTTGTTATTCCGTGGTTGATCTCCTATCGGAGGTTGGAAAATATTATTACAATTCTGACTTTAGACTTTGCTCTAAAAAAGACACTCCTGAGTTAAAGAATTTAGCGGAATAGTTCGTCTGAAGTACCATATCACTATTTAGATTTAAAAAGATATTTCTTTCATTTAGTTTCACGACTGGTCATTAGGAAAATTTTGATTGTTACCAGATGAAATCTTCTTACCTGTACATATTATCACCCTTGAGTTCGTCTGCACTGAAGAAGGCGGCGAGGCAGTCCTGAAGCGACACCACGGGCCCGTAGAACCAGGATCGTAGCCAGCTTAGGAGCCACCATACCTGCAAATGATTAATTATTACAATTGATACAAAGTTTGAACAAGAACAAAAAAAAATCACGTTATGTAAAAACCATTGGGTGGCATTACATGTGCGTCACTGGTCTAGCCGTGGCATTTTCTCTGTTAAGCATTAAGTTTAAGTTTATAACCCTAGAAAGTAAGAAAAATGTACTGTACTGTGTGTTACTTACAATTATGGATCATTATAGCCTAAAATAAACCATTCTATTTATTGTATATTACCCAGGACTCCTGGGTGGCATGAGCGGTGTGATGGTTGAGAATGGGCTGTTGGCATCTTATTACTGCTAGGTGTTCTCGGGATGGTATTGGTAGCGACAGGTCTTGAAACGTTTCCACTCGTGTTGACACCTGGATACAATAAATGTATAAGAATACTTGTAAACGCCGATCCATTGGACAGCTGCAGGCCACATTTCATTAAATTAAATATTTTAACTGTACTATATTAAAAATATATAATGATGTACATTTTAGAAATATGCAAATTTGTTAACAATAACATACACTTGTTCACCAGAGCAAAGGACACATACACTCAGCCGATGAACCTCAGACATGGAAATAGACTTGCGCTACCTAGCTCGAAATTAAATATGCACAGCTCAGGACCATTTGTAATGGCAATTAAAATTTTCAATAAACTCCCCAATACAATTTCATCCAAATCGCAGACTAATTTATTTAATAAACAGCTTAGAGCACATTTGATTTCAAAATGTTATTATAGTTTAAAAGAGTTTTTTGAAGTATAATTAATTAATATAATTACTGTTTTAATTACTAGTTTTACATTTTGTTAGTCATATAAGTTGTCTTAGAAAAATTGTTAACTTCTTATTATGTTTCATTTATGTTTTATTTTTATTTTCTTCTTATACTTTTAATTGCGGCGCCCTAACAGGGTCATGTTGACACTATATATAAATTTTAAGACCTATGTAACACAAGGAAGCAATAAATACTTTACTTTACTTTACAATAAAATATTACAAAAGTCGACACTACCTCAGCTCGAATTAACATGTTTTCCGGTTCTATTGCGCGGGTCGAGCGGCAGGCACAGTGGCGTTATTTCAGATTTTTTAACAAACGAAATTAAAGCCATTTGAAAAATGTATACCGTATAGTATACGTGTTCTGTTTAGTGCAGTTGATACAAAAAAAAAATCATTGGTACAGCGCCTATTGAATACAACGGTTTCCTTTTAAAATTTCGAGGTGTTGTTTATTTTTCCTTTCTTGAAAATGTTTAGGCATCGTGTTTTCACACCGTATAGTAATCAGAGTATGTCCTCAATTTTACTATATAAACATTTCCAAAGTGATTCATTCAACATTTTCACAGTTATGCGGAATCAACGATAGTCAACTATCGTTGTATAGACTTTTTTCAAATAATAAACACTTTACGTGCCAATATCTCGAACGTTACCAAAACGCAAATGCATTGTTTATGACAAGGAGCACAGAAATCTTAACAGCAGCGAAAGGTAAGGGTAGAGGAGACGAGTTACCCTGTCGCAGATGAGGCATTGCACGGAGGAGAGAAGCTTGCCGTCGAACACATCGGAGATGACGCTGCGGTAGCGCACGCCCCCCGCGCCGCCGTCGCCGCCTCCCGCGCCGCCGCTGCGCACACGCATGGCACATTCACTACAGGCGACAAACGATTTCAGCACATATTTGCAGTCATCAGCACTTTTCTCTATACTATCGTATACTTCATGATCAGCACCACTGAAAGAAGATCAGGTCTAAATCGTGTATATTTGTTTTTTCAAACAAACCAACATATCGGGCACTTTTCAGGTCCCATGGTCACGGTTGACACTTATTTCATGTGAATGATTAAAATGTTCAGTCAGTCGTGACCATGACCTGTAAAGTAAATAAATAATTTTCTTTCTGTCTTTAAAGACCCCAAAACGTTGGTTTGTATAAAGAAAAAAAAAAGAAGAGAATATACGCGATTTAGATCCGACAGAAATACAGAACATTTTAAAAAAAGAAGGAAATTAAAATGTAAGCCTTTGTTATAATTATTAATACAAAGATCGAACACTCAGAAAAAATTCCTTCGATCCGGTCGGATTCGAACCGACGTCTTCTTGCATACCGTGTCAGACGCTATACCAACTAAGCCACGGAACGAACCAACGGACCTCACGAATTTTTCTATGTGCTTGCGTCGTGTCTTTGTACTTGGTCTTTCAACGACTTTTTAGTCCAACTACCACTACACTAGTAACAACAACCAAGTGTATTAATAATTATAACAAACTAGTGGAGTAATTTCACAAAAAATAATTGAATATCAATTCAAAAAAAATTTAATTAATAAAGCCTTTGTTTAAATAATAGCAATAATTTTTGTAAATTATTTATTTGTTCAAGTTAAATATTTGCCATCCGATAACGAAAACACGGCTCAGTGACAAAAAATTTTTTGATATATCATGAAAAACCATAACCCAGTTTTATAATATTGACATTGTTTAATGATATTTCAGCTATGCATCGTGAGGGTAAGGTCCGATAAGTCGAACACCTCAACTAATTTTAACTGTTTTAAACATTGATCTACCATTAAATGGATGTCGGGTTCGCGCTAAAAAGTGTTCGCACTTGGCGTTAAAATCACATACAGAGCGTCAATCGCGCAATAGTCTTCGTTTGTTCGAGTGACAGCGCGGTTGTCAATCATGCGGTACCAATATATGCAGTACAAATAATAACTTGTAAAAATTACTGCAGTAAAGTGTGAAAACAGGATTTTGTATCATATTTTCACTAAACAAATATATTGTGTTATCATATTGGTAATTTAAAAGTGTTATTTTGTATAGTTTTATAGTATTTAATTTATATATAACTGAATCGTAAATATAAATTACAAAAGCACACGAAATAATGAAATAGCTAACTGTCCTTTTTCTACTCATTGCATGCGCAAAAGATGACCCATTACGTCAGTTTCAAGAAGCTTATATAAACTTCTTAGTCATTTTCAATTGTACGAACCACAAGCGATTGAAATATTTAGAACAAAGAAATTGTAGAGTTGTTTTGATTTTAATCCTATTTTTAAAATGATTTTTTTATTAAACGTTAGCCATAATACCTAACAAAATATTGTTGTACTCGTTTTACGGTATGGGATTACCTATCAGAAGTCAGAAAACACATTTGCCCGAAATAACGTTAGCTCGAATTTTCATAATGTATTTTTACGAAGATTACAAAACAAAAGCTAATTTTGTCTATGTAAAAGGCATCAAAATTACTCGAAAGCGTAACGGTTTTGTTATAAATCGGAATTACGGATAATTGAGTTTACGTTTAGTTAGAATATCGGTACATTTCTTATAGTACACGCTTATTTTCACATTTGTAGTAATAATTGTATGTATGTATCTGCCCAACTCTTTATTATACCTTTAAGTGAATTTGTACAAAATTCGACATAATAATATATGTATATAAAAAAAATTATTAATATTTACGAGAAAGGCCCATTCCATTACTCTTGTGTTCAAGTAATTTTCAGTCGAAGCTAAATATGGTGCATTTTGTTAAGTTTCCAGTAGAAGCTGAATATGGTGTTTTTGGGCCCTTAAATTGTTGTAAGCAAATTTAAGCAGCACTGCCATGACGTTACAATTTAAATTAAATGTTTTAGTTTTTTATATTTTGTTACATGTCACTACATTTGTATATGTTACCCTTGGACATTTTTTTCGTGGTTTTTGTATTAGACCCGATGTCCATTTGTTGGTAGGTCAATGGTTTTAAAAGAGAATTTTATGCTCTATTTTTTTTGCTATTTAAAATGGATATTTGACCATTTGTCACTTAGCCGTTTTAGTTAATGGACGGCAGATATATACATAATTTTGGAGTGTATGTGTAATTAATACAGGTACGTGAAAAAATATGACCCCATAGGGTCATTACTTTTATATTTTGTCCAACCATTTATTTAACTTTTGACATATGCATGCCTCCGAAGTTCCGTAATTATTGGTACACAACCATAGACAAAAATGCAATACTTCCTGGACTCTTTAATTTTTTAATTTTAGTGAAGTGACGTGCTCTTTAGCTCCGATATTTATCGAGCCAACGACTATTTAAAGAAGATTATTCAAATTGTTATATTTTGGCACCTGTCTAATAAATTATAATGTAATTAAATAAATTATAAATAGTTATAATAAATTCTTACTGTTTATTATAATGAATCGTCGGATTCTTCTCCATATGAACGGGAATCATCACTAGAACCCTCATTAACACTAATTATTAATTCTTGAGTACACAAATTGTCAAACGCAACATCACGATTCCAATGAGACAATATCTTATTTTTGGAACCCGCTTACATTCATGATTAAAACTTCTTCATAAATAAAATCGATGTTATAAAAAAATGGAATCGGACACGCATTAGGACATCACTAATGGATTACAATTCGGTCTGTCAAAAGTTAAATAAATGGTCGAATGGAGTAGAAAAAGACAAAAAAGCCTCTTAAAATTATTTGTAAGTTATTCAGAGAATAACACTCACGTGGGTCTCTCGGGTCGGGCGTCGGGTGTGTCGCTAGCTCCGCTCGAGCAAGTCTCATACCGATCTTCGGCCTCACTTGAACACGATAGTTCTGACTCCGATCCTATATCGCGTTGCGTTGAGTCCGGCCCTGGGCAAAGACATTCTTGTTATCGTCGAAGTGTACATTAAAATTATTTTTCACCTCACTAGCTCGGAAAGGCTTTCTATCTTATTAGAAACCTGCGCATAAGTGCTTTTTGCGCGCTAGCGTGGTAAAGGTTTTTGAAATTCGAACTAGAGCGATGAAAAAAAAAAGATAATGGCACGTTCAACTACGCGATTTGTCGTACATTACTTATTTATGTATCAGAAATCCGTTGGTTTACTCTTATTATTTAGACATTAAATTTACAATGATAACTAATTGTGTTTATTAAATGTTTTTAATTCGTCGAAGAACTAAAATAATTTCAATAATCACTTAATCATACAAAATAAATGTACAAGCAAGAATAAAAATTGATAAGGTGTGAATTCAGAACGCATCCGAAGAAAAACTTTTTCGTTTAATTAAAAATTCCGAAGAACGTACCATTGTGCGTGAGCACGCTATAAGCGAGCTGCGTGCCCGCGAAACTGGCTGAGCGCCGGTGTCGTGCGCCTGCGTGAGGAGCGGCGCCGCCTTCTGCGCCGGAATTTGCACCCGTCACCCTGTCAATAATAATAGTTACGACTATATAGTCCCACACATACAGGTGTAAACGTTAAGTGTGCCCAGACGGTTATTCCGTAAATATAAGAGATATCAAAAAGCTTTAAACTGATATCAAAAATACGTTACCTAACGAGTAAAACGACATTAATGATTCTTAAAAAATAAAACTAGAAATATCCAAAATATCCGAAAGTCATGGGACCTGTAAATAACCCGAAACCTTGGTTCGTTTGAACAACAAACGTACGCAATTTTACAATAGAATTTAAATCTTAAATGCAAATTTTGAGCTTGCTGTTGACTATTTACTTGTAGCCATCGAGTATATAACCAGAAATGATTTAATTTGTTTGAAAACTACTTTGCCAAATCATTACGGTGCCGAGTGGGCTCCAATTGGCCAGCCCGAATTCGAAAACGGGTGTCGTCTTCAAATCGACCAGTTAAACTTGAGCTTTGCTATAGTGGACAAAAATTGAAAAAATACATATTTAATTACCGATGAAATGTGATTCCGTTGGTTTTGTAATTAGATGTTTTGCTGTTTTTCCCTCACCACCGAAGGGAACAACCCCCTATAGTTAGAGATATTATGTTTATTACAATAAATACAGAATATTTTTGGAATATACGGAGACGTATTCACAGGTCAGTTGTTGGCGCTGTACTATTTCAGCTTTTTAATTTGTGATTTCAGCGCAAACGAGAGTTGATATTTAAACGTGATATAAAAGGAGACGTACTCTGTATATTTCAAAAAATATGCTGTATTTATTGTAATAAAGATGATATCTCTAACAATGCCGTGCTGTTCTATTTGGTGGTGTGGGAAAAACAGCAAACCATCTAATTACAAAACAAACGAAATAACATTTCATCGGTAATTAAATATTAAATAAGTAATTTTGCAATTTTCGTCCATTATAGCAAAGCTCAAGTTAACTGGTCGATTTGAAGAGAAACAGTGAAACTCGGGCTGGCCAATCGGAGTTGTAACAGTAATGATATGGCAGAATAGTTTTCAAATAAATTAAATGACATTTCGTCTCTATTTCTGGTTATATACTCGATGATTTCTGGTTATATACTCGATGCCTGTGGCTCACTACAATATGAGTTGATTGTGTACACTACCTTAAGTAACCGTCGGCTCTGGAGTCGCTATAGCACGACGGCGCTGGTGATTTTCGCCGCATGCGCGCGAAGAACGGCGCGTCGCTGGCTGTGAACAAGGTTCTGTTATATGTAATTGACTAGGAGACCCATGTCCGGTAGTGTGATGTTACTACTTACGGGAAAGTGTATTTTCATACCTCACACATAAGTTGTTGTAAGTCAAAATACCATTTTAACTTAAATAATAAAAGGACGTATTTAAGTTAAAAAGCAAAAACAAGTATTTTGACATAATTATTAATACAAACTTTTAGAAAAAAATCCTTCGATCCGGTCGGATTCCAACGGTTTGCTTGGAGACATCGCTCCAAGCAAACCGTGCCAGACCCTATGCCAACAAAGGCACGGAACGAACCAGCGAACGAATTTTTCTGTCTGCTTGTTGTCAGACCTATGTTTTTGGTTTTAACGACTTATTTGCCGTAGCGCCATCTGTGAGAAATCTACGAAAGTGTTTTCTTCACCGTGCCTGAACAAAAAAGTCGTTAAAGTCAAAAACAAAGATCTGCGCAACAAGCACATAGAAAAACACGTAAGGTCTGCTGGTTCATTCCGTAGCTCATTGGGAGAGCTTCAGGCACGGTATGCTGAAGGTGCTGGTTCGAATCCAGCCGTATCGAAGGAACTTTTCCTAGTGTTCAGTCTTTGCGTTTATATTTTGTTCTTATTACCCCCAGATGAAGCTGCCCGGCGTCGTACATGTACACCTCTCGACTCTTGGTGGTCACCGTCCGCCTCCGACCCTAGTTTGTCTTCCGACGCACTATCCCACACCTGGAAATTACAATTAGAATTACTATAATCGCATATACATGTATTTATACAGGAATATATGCATTCAATAACTACTAAACAGTTTAGGCCACAATGACATCAACTGTGTTCTTTAGTAATGGCTAACTAGCGCGATTGTGTTAATGTTTATATTTACGAAATACGATTTTTCTCAGTAGTGAACCTGAGGAATACCCTCCTGTGGCGGCCGTATCCAGACGGAATTGCTGCCCAACGGAAGAATAAGGCAATTGTGCATGTTCCCATAACTTTCCCTGTTCTTCGACCTACATACCACTGCTCCCACTGTAATTTTTAATGTAATTTAAAAACCCAAAAATAAACAGTCCACTATGGAGTTCTTAGGTTTCCACGATTGTTACACATAGGAAATGTAACTGAATAGTTTCATTTCCTATTTACAAGTCCCATGCCCGTTACAGGTCCCATGGTCACGGTTGACTCAGGTGGTGAAGTCATCAACCAGTTATGTCTAATATTAATGCAAAGGGCCCGAAACGTTAGTTTGTTTGAAAAACAAATATACGCGATTTAAATCCGGAAAAATAGTTTCAATACCTATATTGTCCACTAATTATCGGTATATCCACACGTTCACTTCGCTTCACCATAATATTTGGTACATCTTGTTTTTTGGTCCAGGTCATCTTCAACTAGGAAATCAAATAGGAAAAGCAACGAATACTCGACTACAACCAATTTCATATATTATAATTTAAATGGGCATTCGAACCCGCCAAGAAACAACACTTCGCTTCTACATTACATTTTTAATTTACAATTTTATACTAAACGTAAACTAAGATCCCTGTGACATTCCGTTTGACGTTTGTCAAAGGGATGCGGTAAAGTCGATAGATTTTCACCGTATTTGATTTTTAAAGCTAAAATCTCTGTTTTAGTTTTATTTTTCTGACGTATACTGAACGATGTACAGATGTGTGTAGTGTTTTGTTTTTTTATTGAGGGCTTAAAACACACAATGTAATGCTATTTCAACGAAATATTGTAGAAAATGCCAAAAAACATTTATCACATCATTAAATTACAAGTTTTGAAAAAACTAATATCACTGGCATGTTAATTCATTGCCTATAATTAAAATTCATACTTTACAGTCCATCCAACCATTTATTTCACTTTTGACAAATGCATGCCTCCGAAGATCCGTAATTATTGACATACAACCATACATAAAAAATGCAATACTTCCTGGGGGCCTACCACAACCTCTTAAAATAATATTACTTTAACCTTACATTAACTTTTCGTACCATGACGCGCTTAAAGTAAGCTTATTATAATGTTAAAACTATGATGTTTTATCGGCATATTTGTGATTGGTAATATTGTTCTTATGTCAAATTTAGCAATCTTAAAATAGTAACCGATGCAATGGACACAATATTATTTTCAGTTTTATTGTCTTAATATTGATTTATAATGATTAAAACTTAAGTTGAACTTATTTATTTACATATATCTTGTCAATATTTTGTTAATTTTTTTTTTATTTAACAGTACATAGTAAATAATTTCTCGTTAAATAAAAATACGCAATGTTCATTTCGTGAAATTATGACAGCGATATCTATATGCTCCTTGGCAACACTAATAGTTGACTACTATAATTCCGAATTCACAACGTGACAATCAAAACAGCTTTATTTATTTATTACTCTTCATGAAAATGCGGAAAAATAATTGAGAACAACGCAATTTTAATAGATTTTACTGTTACATAATTTCCTTTTTTTAACAGTTAAATTTTCTGAATGTAAATAACATTAACTACTTAAACATAATACTACGATAAGACGATTCGGAACATTAAAAAATAAAGAGATGGCATTATGATGGAATTAAATCTTAAGTGTCAAGCTTGACGTGCTCTTGACCCTGTACTAATATGAGTAATACTATAATAAACTTACTTTAAACTTATATTGAAATAAGATTGTTTTTGGAAAGATTATGGTAGGCCCCTGGGCTCTTTTATTCTTTAATTTTAGTAAAGCGACGTGCTCTTTCGTCCGATATTTATCGAGACAATAGATTATGTAAAAAAATTATTCAAGTTGATAAATTTTGGTACCTGTCTAATAAATTATAATAAAATGAAACAAATTAAAAAATATTTTAATTTACTTTTTGTTAATGAAACTCTAGGTCGGTATGTGTATCAATTTTGGTTTAGTACCTGTCTGTTGATGACTGTTTGTCTCCTAGAAATAAATATAAAAAAATGTATATACGTAATTATAAATTTTTATCCTTTATTATAATGAATCGTCGGATGTATCTCTATATGAACGGGAATCATCACTTGAATCCTCATTCACATTAATTATTAATTCATAAATACACAAATTGTCAAGCGCAACATCACGATCCTAATCAAACAATATCTTCTTTTTTGGACTCGCTCATTCACGATTTAAACTTCTTCATAAATAAAATTCATTGTTATATAAAAAATTGAATCGGAAACGCATTAGAACATCACTAATTGATTAGAATTCGAGCTGTCAAAAGTTAAATAAATGGTTGGACGGAGTATAATAGCACTGGCACTATAATCATTAAATTATCGAAAACTTTTTATGGATATAACTCATCTCTAGCAAACGCAGTGTAATGAAGTAACCTTTGCACGTCGTTGTCGTAAAAAAATAATGTATGTTTGAAAAATAAATGTTTTTCCGTTCATTTCTCACAAATAAACATTGAGTTGGTGTTATTTTTACTTTAATTTAATGTATTTAGTTAAACAAAGGCACAAACATTTAAAAGCGAGGCTTATAAAAATAGATTATTTCATACGTAAATTAGTGCACGTGGTTACAAGGTCATAGTGTGTAGATTTATATGAACTGTCACAGGGATTATTTTTAACCAACTTCAAAAAAAAGGAGGAGGTTATACGTTCGGCTGTATGTATGTTTCCCGATTTCTCTGTCAATTGTGGACCGATTTTGAAAATTATTTTTGTTTCAAAGGGTGCAATCTCCTGGTGGTCCCATTGTCACCAAATCAGAATCTGATGAGGGGATCTCATGGAAATCGAGTTAAATCCTCAAATGTTATAGGCATGTCAGTGTTCTCACCAAATCCTCCATCAATAATTGTGGATCAATTTTGAAAATTCTTTTTTGTTTGAAAGGGTATACTCTCGGGGTGGTCTCTGATGCCGACGATACTGTTCAGGGTTCGTTTCGGCTACTACAAATTACTAATTATTTTCCGCAAATAAAAGTTGACTTTTCACTTAACGCAATACATGTAATCAACAAATCACCGTCACCATGACAACCAGAAAAAGAAGTATAAAATTTATAAAGGAGTCCATAACTGTCCCATTGTCACCAAGAAGTCAGAACCATGGAAATCGAAAAAAGCCGATAAGCAAACTTTTGAGGTCGGCTTTTTTTCAATGAATTACAATTATTAGAATAGTTGTTTTATTACCGGTTCTTTGAGCTCCTCGTGCAACTGGTCCATGAAGCACCGGAGAAACTCCTGCGTGTCATGTTGGTGGTAGCCTCGAAACATTGGATGCACCTGCAATTGTCGACTCTGTACAGTAATGGCTTAGTATAATGAAATGATACAAGTATGTTAACTGCTTCTATGACCGAACGGTTAGGCTGGTTTGCCACGCAGAAGTCCCGGGTTCGATTCCCGGGCCTGGAGAAATATTTTGTATGTACGCCATATTTATTACTCTTATGAGTTTGGGGGTGTAAATTATTCTGTATCCCACATTCTGTCAGCTATGTATCAAATAAGGGCGCGTTCCCATTATGTCGTGAGGACAGATAGTCATGCAGTTTAAAGTGTCGTGGCTTGTATATTTAAATGAAGTTGTTCACACATAAAACAACACGATTAACTGTCGTTCACGACTTTTTTGACGTAACGACGACAAACTGTCGTGACAATGGGAAGAGGTAGAACGATATCGTCTGACGATAAATAAACTGTCACGATAGAAATGTGACGACAGATAATCGCAGCTTCAAACGATTCTGTCGTGCAAACGACAAGGCGGCTGCCGTGATATCGGTTCACGGCAGCCGCCTTGTCGTTTGCACGAATTGTCGACACGATCTAGTGGGAGCAGCTAGACATGACAAGTCGTTCAACGATGAAATAAACGTGCACGACAGTCACGACAGATAGTTGCGATATGGAACAGACTAGACGCGACAGTCGTCTAACGATAAATAAAACGTTACAACATAATGGGAATGTGCCCTAACAACCCGATATCCAGAATGTGTAGGTATTACAATGACATCCGATCAGACCATGATCTGTATAATGATGACCTTGAACTGTTTTATTTTTTCATTAGTTAAGTATATTTAATTAATTTCTTCTAGGTATTAATGTCTACTGCTTGTACTAAAGTGTTGTGTATACCTTTAATTGGATTGCAGGTTTATGTTTCTTCATGTAGAATACTTTTTGTTGATGTACATTCTGATCTGTAATTTGTGATGTATCTTATCCAAAATAATTTGTGTTGTCTATGTGTGTGTCCATGGTACCCGCGATACCATATAGGGTTTCCTAGTGCAGGGCTATGCGTGTGCGTGTTACAAAAAAACTATATACAAACGTAGCAGCGTGATTTGTACATATGAGTACGTGTCCGCCGTGTCTCGTGTATGTACGCAAACTTTCGCAAAAAACGTCTCACACGACATTAATTATCATTATTTTCAAACCAACCAACGTCATTTCCTTTTAATCAATATATTTAATTTAGTAAAATTTGATATTGTTAAAGTAAAATATTTTTCGAAACGTATGTATAATAATTATTAATAGAAAGATCGAACACTTAGAAAAAAATTCTTCGATCCGGCCGGATTCGAACCAACGTGTTCTAGCAAACCGTGCCAGATGCTATGCCAATTAAGCTAGTTTTTTTTTGTATTTGAAGGATTTTTTTCTTTATGTAACATAAATTGGATTTTTATTATCAGGGTGACGGGCGCGCAGTGGCAGTGCCTTTCGATCATTGCGATGTAAAATTGTGAATGGCATGGCATTTCAACCGCTATGGACAGGGGTGTCGCTTACCACCGGGCACACGATTTGTTCGCCCCATTACTTGGATTTCTGATATGTGTTGACATCAATTTTAGGTGGTGATAGCTCTTGGAGATTACTTGAATACTAAATGCTATGCCTGTATTGGTGGCACCAATGTGCGTGTAAAATTGTACTTACATTTCTAATTCCATACAGAATTCCGTTAGGTACAACGTAGCCTCTAGTTTTCCTACTCCACATATCCTTAATTAATTTTTGGTATGCTCTGGAAAACAAAAAAGAAGCAATTACCTAGTGCATAGCAAATTGTACAGCGCCTATAGCGCTAACGAGAAGTACTAGAATTTGTCATACCATTTGGGCAACGAATGTACAGTCAACAGCACATCAAGATATACACTTTTGTTCGGATATCACCTCCAGTTGCGCACTACATTCGATTCGTATCAGTTCCGAATCCGAGAAATGACTGTCCGAAATGTCACAGGGATCGTTTTATCTCTAAGTGTACAAGCGCTATTCGTATTTTGTCGAATTCGGATTGGACTCAGTACACAAGTGATATCCGAAGTGGGTCCAAGTTTTCCAGATTTCTATAGTCTCGAATTCGAATACGAATCAGATGCAGTGAGCAGATGCAGTGAGCAAATGTGCTTACGGAACAAGACTCGTCATTGTGTAGCTTGATGTGCTGCCGTGTGTAAAGAGCAACGGTAGTTAATTTGAAATTAATTATCGTCGCCTTACTCTTTCAAACTCGTATCTTAAAGCACAAAGTTACTTGTATCTTGAAGCACAAAGTTACTGAAATGCAAAAAAATGGGTTGTATATACAAAATTTGCATGTTAATTTCACATCACATATCCTTCATATTTACAAACTGGTTTTTACCTGTTCTTAAAGTAATGCTTCCAAATTACCACCCTTGATAAGAAATTTAAAATAAATAGGAAGTTTTGCCATCTCCTGAAAAATCACTCTACAAGATACGAGTTTGAGACAGTAAGGCATCGTTATACAGTTATTAAAAAAGAAAAAATAATTAAATGAGGTTGATCTTAATTTAAAACTACGTTAGACGAAAAGTTATGAAATGAAAAAAGTGTGTCATCATCAACCTATTATACGTTCTACTGCTGGACACGGGTCTTTGGAGGGTCAAGACCTTTATACGATGAAAACGTTCGCGTTTTCTAAGACTTATGAACCTTCTACACCAGGCTTTATAGTTCTACCGCTTAACTGTGTATGTGTGTGTGTGTGTGGTAGACCTGTAGTAAAAATTTTTTTTAGTAAAATATTTTTTTAACTAAAACAATGTTTTCTTACCGACTAAGTCCAGGTTTCTTGTCAGCGGCCAACACCGACACAGCGGCCGCGCATTCGAGGAAATACGAGGTGAGAGGCGCCGTATTGCTTAACGCCTGGAGCGCCGCATTCATGTAACATGTGTTGCCCATATTCTGCAGACCTACTAGACCTGGAGATGATAATTAATCTTGTAACTCTCTCTGTTACTTGCTATTCGGGATGGAGAAACGGATAATACTAAAGACGCTAAATATAATGCACACATTTAGTGAAACACTAATGAAGTCCTCAAAATAATGCAGTGATTTTTCAAAAGTCTAGAAGTTTATTTTACTTTTTTTATTTTAAATCTAATTTGAATATACAAAATTAACGGTATTACTCTAGCTGATCGCTATGCGTGAAAGAGGAACGAATAATACTCAAGACGCTAAATATAATGCACACACCGGCGCATTTAGCAGAACACTAATAATAATAATAATAACCATTGACTTACAAATAAATGAAGGACGGGTCTAATACAAAAACCACAAAAAAAATGTCCCAAGTCAACCTATTTAAACGTAGTGACATGTAAAGGAATATGAAAAAGCTAAAAGGTTGAATTTAAATTGTAATGTCATCGCAGTACTGTCTAATTTTGCTTGCTTCGCTGTCAGTCGAACAAACGAAGACTAAAGCGTGAATGACGCTCTGTATACGATTTTAACGCCCTATAAGTTCGGACACTTTTTAGCGCGGACCCGACGTCCATGTAATTGTAAGTCAATGATAATAACACATTTATTTAGAAATGCATCCATATTTGTTAGTAACAATAATCTTATCAACTATGTTAGTAACTGTTCACGTTCACGTGATACGAACAGACAACCTAACCATCCTACATTTACCACGTGACGATAATAGACTACTCAGCAGTGCACTGACCGAATAGCAATGTGCAAGATCAGCCTGCCGAGTAGACGTTTCCTTTGTTTTACATTTAAAAATAATATTATAATATACACGCACACATGTGTAGAGTTTGTATAAATAGTCTAGTTTTTAGAAACAAAGATCTCTTTTTGAATCCAGACATCAACGCTGTCTCATTGACGACGGAACTCTTCTGACTACAGCATCCTCTCTCTGCGGGCAAGACCCCTTTAGCCGTCAGCTTATTTGATCAGTTTTGTGAGTCTGTGAGGCTGGCAGTGAAAAAGTCCACTCCTTGCACCCCTTATCCTTCCCACCTTCCGTCTGTTACCTTAGGTCAAATGGTAACAGGCTTCCTCTACTGTCTATATACGTATATATTTTAGTAGTGTACGGTTAGGGCTAGGCTATTAGGTAGGAACGTAGGGTTGTTTGTAGTAGATTAGTTTTCCCTTACCATTTAATGTATAGCCAGCTAGCTTTAATTGCACATATAAGACGATACTCAACAGTAACACTCATATCACACTCAATATACTACACAAAGACAGAGATGAAGTTAGTTGGCTATACAGTAACATCACATAATTATACAAAAATATTACAATTTCTCATTTCTCGTACTAGCCTGTGGCCTATGTAACTGTATCCAGTGGTTGAATATCGAGTTATCATTTGTCAGGCTATTGGCGCTGCCAGGAAAACGCATCCTCCCAAAATAATGCAGTGTTTTTTTCAAAAGTTGGCCGGTTATTTTACTTTTTTGGACTCTAATTTGAATATACAAAATTAACGGTATTACTCTAGCTGGTACTCGCTATGCGTGACGGAGGTACGAATAATACTCATTGAATATAATACATACACACATTTAGTGGAACACTAATGAACTCCCCAAAATAATACAAGGTTTTTTCAAAAGTCTGGCTGGTACTTTTTTATTTTAAGTCTAATTTGAATATACAAAATTAACGGTATTACTCTAGCGAGTATCACTCGCTACGCGTGATGGAGGAACGGATTATACTCATTGAATATAATACACACACACCTAGAAATACTAATGAACTCCCCAAAATAATGCAGTGTTCTTTCAAAAGTCTGACCTATATATATTTGGTATAGTTTATAATTTAGGTTTTATATTGAAATGCGGTAGTGCCCCATGGACAGCGTCAACGTCCCCCAATTGCTTCCGAGGCCCTACTGCCCTACGACTCTTCAGCGCACATTGGGGAGCGGTAGGAAACACTATGAGAAACTATGCTCTAGCTGTTTGTTACTCACTATGGTGATGAAGGAGCGGATAATACTCATTGACGCACACACATTTACACCAATGAACTCCCCACAATAATGTGCTGCGGTGTTTTCTTTTCAAGTGTCTAGTAGAATTTTATATGTTTAAAGTTGCCTGTTAATTTTTTCATTAAATTGTCTCAATTTCCTTTTAATACAGGTTTGTCGACTGGGCCGAGGTTGTCTTTAGTTGAAAAAGTTTTACATTTACTAAATTTTGATGGCACCAATGTGAAACTATTACAACTGTTAAATTTTCAATCGTTTCCGCTTTGTCACAAAATGTAAACGGAAACACATTCTTGCAATTTCTATTTTATTCAAAAAATTCCATTATATGGACCAATGGACCATTCTATTAAGATTGTACTAAGTCGTTGTTAAAAGATGATATTTTTGGTGTTACTTTCAAGTCTCATTCTTATTTATTTAAATATAAACGTTTGTATATAACTGGTGTATATGTCTTTCGCAGTTGGAAAAGGAAAAGGATGTATTTATTTTTGAGCTACGACTTAAATGCGACTGTTTGCGATCTAACATAGTATTATCTCAAAAATTGCGTTATAGTTATTATATACGGCATCGGTATACGATTTAATTTCAAAGTGACAGGACAACACTGTCACTTTGATACGAATGACACACACATAAATTTTTGGCAAAATTTCTGGTAAACAAATAAATATTCAAATAGCGCACAGCGCGGGTGCCATGGGCGTAGACAACCACAAATTACATTCGAACTCACGAGAGAAATAAATGTAGCCCACACAAATGTTTCTCCTAGCCCGGGAACCGAACCCGGGACCTCTTCGTGGCAGACTAGTATGGTAACTGTTCGGCAAAAGGAGGCAGATAATAAAATATAATACAACGCAATTTTAGAGATAATACTATGTTAGTTGTCATGTACGATATGTAAATTGTTGAAAGATGATTTGGGGAAATTATTTTGGGTGAGAGATGGTATTACTGTGATGTGACATCACTATTTTGGATTAAAATAAAGTGTATCTTGCTTACCTCGGGGCCGTTCTTCGTCAAAGTCCATGTCGTCAGGGTCAACGTCGTCATCTGGCGAGGGGGGTATGCTGAGACCTACTGACCCCAGCCGCGTCACTACTGAGCCGTCCATTGAAGTTGTATCCGGACTCATCTGTGGAAGAACACCTTGTATATAGTTGTGATGTGTGATGTCAAAGACAAGAGGAATTTGTGATTCTACCTACGTTGGGAATTACTTTATTTTAACCCTACACTCTAACTACAAAATCATTTTTTGAGACGATAGCGAGCAAAAACTTGTAGGAAATATTAATTTGTCGCCAATGTACTCATATTTTAATAAATAATATGCATATTGAAATGGGATTAACAATACCTAATTAAGTGGTTTGTATGAGCTATGTAATCAAAATATTGCAAACCACACAGCTGTTGACAAAATACATAACGCACACACGTAGCACACAATTCCCCGCACTGGGGAAACCAAATACCGCGGGTGCCATGGACACACACATACAACCATAAATTCACCCAAATTCACGAGAAAAACAAATGTAGGCTATACAAACATCCGGGAATCGAACTCGGGACCTCTACGTGGCAGACCAGCAAGCCTGGCCGTTTGGCCATGGGAGCAGTAAAAAAGGTGGATTTTAGAGATGCAATTTTTGTAGAAATATTGTTAATTTGGTTCCCGATTGTAGACTTACACTTAGTTTTTGATTTCATTAATCTATGACAATCTTGTAACACGACACTTACGGCGTCGTGCGCGAGCGCAGCGCGAATGTAGACTTCCTTTTCGCACAAGTAGCACCATATCCTTTCGGTGGACACGTTCATGTGCACACAATGCGTGGGGTAGCTCTGGAAAAAAAATAAGTTATATTAAAAACATTGTTAAAAAATCTTGCGACTTCCGACACATTGCATTCATTGTTAATAAATAACATGAACTAATAACCCAAGAAGGAATTTAGTGCCTATAGGTACACCAGATGCCGCGACGAGTATCAAATGGCCATTTTTTGTAACTAATTTATTTCACATTGACGAGCTGCTTTTTAACAAAGCTACTAATTTCGGCATCTACTATCTACCACTAGGTACTACTAAGGTCTGTACTGTACGCGACTGTCGGGACTGTACGCGAGATGGCTCATAAGATCAACGTTGTTCACCTTCAAAAATTCTTTTGTCTGTCTGGCCGTGTCAGAACTGGCATTATCGTGGTGTAAGATGATACGGCATTTACGGTTATTTTTAAACAAATGCTCGTGCACCAATCACTATTCACGGTACAACGATTCTCCAAAGCAACAGTGACCACGTGTCCAGTTTTATTTAAAAAAAGAAGCTATCATTTCGGCTCATCTCGAAAGACCCATACGCTCGATTGCTGCTTTGTTTTGGGATCTTAATTATATATCTATGTTACGTCATCTGTTACTATGTCCCACACCAAATTTGACGCCCCTTCGTTGAATCTGGTAAGAATGGCATTGCCCCAAGTGACGCGATTCGTTTTTTAAGCCTCAATCAAATTGTGTGTGATCTACCGAGAGCACAGCTTTTTCACACTCAAATGTTTGTGTAGTATTGATTGTATTTGACTCATGCCTACGCCTAAAGATGCCCGAATCTCATGGTATGCCACATGCCTGTCTGTTTTGATCACACGGCACATCGATGTTTTTGTTGTTCACTGCAGTGGACGGGCGACCATCACGGAATTCATCACTGAGATTCACACGACCGCGTTTGCATTCTGCAAACCATAGTCATCTTGCATGGTGCTTCATCGCCAAAAGCAGTTTGAAGCCGAGCGAAGTTCCGCTGAGCTATTAAAGTCGTAGAAAATCATACTACGAAAATTTTCACGAGTTAAATCCATGGGTGATGTAGACAACCAATTTCTAAAATGACGCCACAATGTAAAAACAAGTGACAAGTCAGATGAAACAAACTGTATTCTACAGCTAAAGAGTTTCATTTTCAAATATTGTAATTACTATTTATGTTTATGTAAGTGGCCAGTTCCGGAAACTTATAGTATGCCTTATGTATACATAAATATTTAAAGGTAGTAGGGGTATAAAACATGTAATATATGTATAAGTTGTGATCTTTTTTGTAACATCAATGTATTCGTTGATTGGTATCCTACCTAACACAGTTTAAGAGCGACTTTGATTTTGGGCTTACCTGGAAAATTTTGTTTAAAGCACTTATTAGGTTTTATTATGGGGCTGCCGAATTTGCCGACTATTTTTTTATTTTGTTTAGTATTAACGCCATCTACTCATATCTGCAACTGTTAATTTATAAATTATTTGGAAACACATCTGTTAAAGTTCAGAGAATAATTGTAGTCATGGCTGAATATTTAAATAAAATTACATGGATAAAAAACGGACCACTGTTATACTTAAAGAGGAATTAATTGGTATCCATGGCCAATTTTCATGCTCCTTCTGTCTGTCTACTTAAAATATAGTTATTGGTTTTCATTTGTGTTGTAAACTTTGTGGCTTGGTATTAAAGCTCTTCTCCGAAATATTGAATAGAATATATTTTGTATATTTGGTAAACAAGGCAAAAACAAAATATTTTGTAGGCAAATAAAAAGGACTTGTTCCCATTGACTTACACATAAATGGACGACGGGTCTAATACAAAAACCACGAAAAAAATGTCCCAAGTCAACCTATTTAAACGTAGTGACATGTAAAGGAATATGAAAAAGCTGAAAGGTTGAATTTAAATTGTAATGTCATCGCAGTACTGTCTAATTTTGCTTGCTTCGCTGTCAGTCGAACAAGCGAAGACTAAAGCGTGAATGACGCTCTGTTGTCGATTTTAACGCCCTATAAGTTCGGACACTTTTTAGCGCGGACCCGACGTCCATATAATTGTAAGTCAATGCTTGTTCCCTATTATTTTACATTTATTTGCGTCTAAAAATAGGTCTCACTTTATGCCTTGGTAGCCTAATCGTTAAACTATTGGAGCGTTCGGATTCACACTCACACCTCTGAATTTGTCGGAAGTTATATGCAAAATTGAATTTGAATTCCACTATGAGCTTTTCGGTGAAGGAAAACGTGATGAAACCTGCTCGTCTAAGAAGGTTCAAAACCCACCGAAAACGTGTGAAGTCCCCATCATGCTTTGGGTCAGCGGACTATAGTCGAAAACCCTCGTCTAAGAGAAGACCCGTACCCGGCAGTAGGACGTATAAATGGGTTGATGAATAAGTCTCACGGGTCGAATAATCCTGTTACAGCTGGTACATGACTCACAATTTGCACATATCCTTGCAGTATAAATAAACAATTAATTCTTTAAACAAAGACATTAAATAAACAAAAGATCTAAAAATGTAACTTCAGTAATTCAAAAGTATATTAGGACTGGTACTGCACGCTAATGTGTTCCAAATTCTTTGTTGAAGATGCGCTTCTGGATAGCATGAAAATGTCAAGGATATTGAATCAGTATAAACCAATCAGCTGAGTAATGAATGACTGAGGCAGAGGCACTTCAGAGAACAGAAGAATTCCAAACCAAATTAAAACTACAGAACGGATTTGTTTATAGCTCAAGGATTGATTAAGAATTACAAACAAAAAAAAAGAAAGTCAGCCGTGATCATGGAGTCTGTAAAGGCCCCGAAGCTTTGGTTTGTTTGGAAAAAAAACAAATATACGCGATTTAGATGCAAAAAATGTTTCTGGTCAGTAGGGTTGTTCCGATATCACCACTCCAATGAGTAGTAATCAATTCGTTATGCGATACTGAGTACTTCAAAAGTATTACTCATATGGATACTTTTTTAGGAGATATAAAATATGTCCGTACTTTAGATTTTGGCGGCGCCATAAGAATTCAATAAATAAACATTCGTTTCTTTTTAAAAACTATTATAGCTAAATCGATACAATCGATAATTCCGCTAATCGATCGAGATTTTGATAATTGATTATTACTGCGAATTTGTCGTAATAATACCTAAAGTAAACATTAATTTATATAAAAACTATAATACAAAAATCCACAAAACTACATAAGAACCCGCCATTTCTGTTTGTGTGTCGCTAATTCGCTGAGATGTATGTAATGTACGACCATTCATCCAAAAATAATCCAAAGGGACCATAGATAGACATCGTTGTATCGATAGACGAGTCGTCCCTACTCGTCAGCAGTGAAGAAAACGTATAAGTTTCTTACATGTGCTAGGGCAAAAAACCTTAAAGTTAACATAACATCACAATAGGACTAAATTTGCATTGTAATGACAGCTACGCATGGCATTTGCAAATAAACGTACTTATTCTTAAACGCTTTGTTGACTTTGTTTTGAGAAGTCACGTTATATGTTGATAATAATTTATTTTAAGGAAAAACTTTCATAAGTTTCTCACATGTGGCGTTAGGGCTAAAAAGTCGCTTAATATAAAGATCCGCAACGAGCGCATAAAGAAATCTGTGAGATCTGCTGACTCGGACTGTAGGTCAGTTGTTCCTATCTACTGACCCAAGAGATAGGGAGTTTCGGGGAGACCACAGGCTCGCCGGCTAGGCCATGGTACTGCGGGCGTCCAGACAGCGGGTCCCTGGCCGACCCGGATTTGGGTATGGACTTGTTGGGTTTGTGCACGTTCGTAGCGGTCTAGACGAGAGCCTAAGGCGAGGAGACGCGCGGGGCACGTGAGTTGACCTTTAAATCGGAAGCCATGTACTGACATTGTCGCAGGAAGCCGCGACCGGCATCTCCGGCGCCAGACCGGAGAGCTAGATATCCTCCGGTCCCTCCAGTCGTTTAGGTTATTGGTAACTGGAGAGACGCTATTTTTCGGCGTCGGGAAGTGTGCGTGCCTTAAAGGTCCGCCACCAAAGAGGAGATTTGATGGCGAGGTACCTTTGGACCTTAGAGTCAAGTTAGCTGTGCCAACCGTTAGTTGCGCAATGCCCAACGTGAGTGTGCCTGGAAAATATTGAGGGTACCATGCGTGCACCCGGGGCAGCTCACTCAAGGCACTAGCCATTTGAGAACTGGATGAAGTCCGTGCAAACCGACTGATCTAGGGTCAGGACCTGACTGAGTATGTCAGTGTGCGGGCTTGCTTGCGTGGGTTATAGTGCACTTTTTGTATACCCTAAGGGTTGGTAGGGAGGGTTACTATAATCAAAACTAATCTAGAAAGGTATGGGGCTGTAGCTCTGTTGGTAAGAGAGGTGGTAAAAAGACGCTGGTTTTTGTCTAGTCAGATCAAAGGACTTTTTTGTGTTTGTTTAATCTTTGTATCAATTTGTTTCATTTGTAAAGAATGGAAATAAAACTGTCAATCATGAGTTAAGTCTGTGTTCAATTAATTGCAATAAATCTTGCAACTTATTTCTTTGTTGAAGTGACATAAACATAAATTGTTTTAAAGTGAACTATTATGCAAAAAACCCTTTGTAATTGTAATAAAAAAAACCCCTTGGAGTCAAGAGATATTTTTGGTAGCAAATAATAGCTGTTTACATGAACTTACTTTTTGGTGTAAAGTACTGTGATCATTCTTGACTTCGGAACACCCCACGTGGTGGCAGTAGGGCTGCAGACAAATCCAAAGGTTGGGTCCGGTACAGCCACAGTCGAAGCATGATAGTGTCTGTGTGCAAAATAAACAATTATGTTACAACCACATTCCATAAATAGGTGCAGGTTGTCGAGATTAGCACATCTCATTCTCCAGGCATGAAATCAACCAAAAATTGAGTGCACTCCTAACAAGAAAAAATAAGATTTATAAGCTGTTAGCAATTTTTTTAATGAGTCCATACACTATTATTTCTTAATATTATCAATGGTCCATACATTTCTATAATTACAATTTATGTTGTGGGCACTGCATGAGGAGATCCTGGTAGGGACAAATAGGGAAATAAACTTTTTTAAGTTGGTTCTTGTCTAGGTGTTCTGGATATACAGTGATTTCTGTTACTTCAGTACTTGTAGTACAGGGAATTCCCAAGTTTGAGACCAGGCAATTGGTGTGGTTGTCTGAGAGATTATTAATGCGGTCATTCTGGACAAAAATCAATATAACCTCGAAAGTGCCTCAAACTTCACATAAGTTTTTGAATAAGTGCTGGACAGAAATTAATTTCTCTCACCATTACTTCATTCATAAACACTGTAGAATGATTTTCAAAAATTAATATCAGAAAACTATTAACATCAAAATTTTAAAACTTCATAGGGGCAGTCTAGCGTCTCCCTAACCTCCTCTCTTTCCATTTAAACGTCCGCTATTCTAAAGTCCAACCTAAACCTTTAAGCGCACTTAAGTCAATCCGTTTTATAAACAATACAGTTATACTAAAGGAAATAATTAGGCAACACACAAATAAGTAAACTAGGACGTATATGCATCAATGGTACCAGGCGATTATAGCCTAAGCTGTAGTTACGAGTGCATGCCAGCCACTCAGTTGCACAATGATACCTCCACTACAGAATGCTAATTATCTATTACACCGACGATACATTTTGAGGTTAGGTATCATCTAATTCATAATACAATCTCACCTCCTTCGACTGCCACAGCTCCTTCCCAAGGTGTTCCGACAACTTGTTCAGATGTTCACACGTCACACCTTTATCCATTTCGAAGGATAACCGCCTCTATTATCAATTTCAAAACACTAAAATAAATTCACTTCAATGGGCTCCTAAAGTCTTGTAAATAAAGAACATTTTTATACTGCAGCCGGCCAAAACAGGAAAGGTATGATTACAGGATTAATTAGAACGATAGGGATATATTTTATTCGGAACATTTCGGTGAAAAGGCTAATAATTGAATTAGATTACAGAAATTTCCTTCAACACAAAACCTTCCGTGACGAGCGAAAAGTCAGGTCAGCGGTGTTGCCAGGAAATAAAAGGAAAATCTAGTATTTGCTTGCTCACGTGAAGTTCTGTAATCCAATTAAATACTTGTTCTGGGGGTCTACTCTCGACCTCCGTCCGAAACAATTACTGCCAAATAAGCAATACTTGACCAAATGAAAAGAAGCGTGATGAGAATGAGCTTCATACTTGATACTTGTCTTTTAATTTTGTCGAATATTACTTATTTGACAGTAATTGTTTCGGACGGATGTCGAACGAAGATCGAGAGTAGACCCCCAGATTACTGATCTATGATTTCTTTGGGCTTAGTTTGTACCGAGGTTGCAGCAAGAATGATTTGCTAATTTGAAATGATATTTATTTTCTGCTTGTGAGTTACCCTCCCTACCCACAAAAAATCCTGAAATGATCTAATAATGCAATCAATCTTACTGTAATGCTTTAGTTTGATATTTTTTAAATACCTACATAAAAATTGTTGTAAGCGTAATTTCAAAACATTGTTTTCAATGATATTCGTTAATTGTTTTCACACAACCGAATGATTAAATAGAAATTTTTCATGGGGTTTTATTACGAATGGAAATCACAAGAAATTGTATTCATAAATGTTTGCTTAATACGTTGAATAAAATGTACTTTATCGTTTTAAATGTGGTAAAATAAAAAACGTGAACCTGTTTTGAATTTATAGTCTTCACAAACTTTAGCCCGAAAATCAATCATACCCACGTCATGCTATACCACATTGACTTGTTTTTTAACCGACTGCCCCAGACTGTCATAATCAGTGTACAATTTGAAATTTAAGTTGGCAGAAAGATATGAACCCTGAGCTCAATATATACGAAGACAAGTACAGGGTCAAGAGCAAGTCAAGCTTGACACTTAAGACTTCAATCCAATATGCCGTTTACGATAAGAATGGTCCGAAGTACGAAGTGTCAAGCTTGATGTGCTCTTGACTACCATTTCGCTTTTTAGGCACTGGTTGCGTATAAACTAACTTTCCTGACTTTGTAATGTTACGATTACGGAAGCGGTTTTGCCGTGCCCAAACCGAAGACAACTCGAGCACAAGTTTCACAAAATTGTAACCGGAATGCCATCTTTGGCCAAGCACACAGTCGCTTCGGTCGACGTCGGCCGTAAACTACCGTCGTTAGAGGACACACTATTTACGAGGCTCTTACTAAGGGTCGACTTGGTGTAAATGCGCCTTAATAGCCGTCCGAACACTTTTGAAAAAGTAGCCTAAAATGTTCTTTGCAGGTAGATTTTCTTTTTGTTACACACCTTTTCCGAGGCTGAAATACTAACGCTAAAAGCCACCAAAAAAAACGAACCTTCGTTTTTCGACGGTTTATATCGTAACATTTTTCTTCAATTAAACGCTCAATCGAAATGCAATATGGGTTTACACACTTTGTTGTAGTTTTTATCTCTTTCTAATTATATAAATAACATTTTAGCGATCCTAAAAAGCGTGCAATAACAAATTTGTTATTTCTATTTGATTTTTTATCCCAATAATTTTCCTGGTTTATGCAGAAACAGGAAGTAAATTGTTGATAAAGTGATTGGTTAGACGTTGTGTATAATGACGTCAGCATCGTCGAGTAGTGCTCGTTCTCTATTCGCAGAATCTAAGCAGCGTTTGGCAGAACGAGTTCAAGTCAATATGAACAATATTTCGTCTTTAACTCGTCAAATTCTACGAGGATCTAAATCTAATGAGGTAAAAAATACTTACTCTCTAGTCTAGCTTTTGTTAAGTTAAAAACTCTGGGCAATTAGTGCTTGATATTCCTACTAGATACTTACCAAGTAATCGTTGGTTCTATTATGTTTCTATTTCATGCACTAATAAAGTTAAAGGTTGTTTACAAATGTATATAAAAGCAATAGCCAGCTTAAAGCTTAGTTTTAGCGCCAGTGACTTAAAAAGTTTCCCAAAATGTGTTCTGCTGATCCATTGTTATGGCAAATGAAAACACTTTTGGCAGCCTAGATTTAAGTTTTTTTTAGTACCCTATATGTTAAAAAAAATAGCAACGTTCAATTCAATTCAATAGATAAATATTGTGATAATACTATATTTACATATTTTTTGTGTAAATACTCCACTAGTTTGTTGTTATTTTATATATTATAAGAGGTGGGCGTTTAACGAAAAGCACTTGAAAAAGGTTGCTTTTTAAGATAAGTACTTAAGCACGCATTTTATTTTAAGTATAAGCGTTGGTCAGTTTTATACTCAATTTCATTTTTTACATAATAATAATAATAATAATCCGCTTTAATCTTTTAGGCCTTGGGAGAGGCGAGAGTTTAAAATAAATACGATAATAATAATAATTCGTTTATTTGCTTAAAACATGGTATAACAGAAGATGTTACAAGAGAGTGCCAGTACAAACATGTTTCGCATATATTAAATAGCATGCAAATGTCTAGTTATATAATGTCGATCAGACTACCACAACACAATAATACAAAAATATCAAAAAAGTGTCAAGTTACAAATTAATTTGGTCAAGAATGATAATCTTCAAAATAAAATCTTACATCTCATTTCCTGTCAAATATTTTATTTAGGCCATAAAAATTATATTTATTTAGCCACTTGTACAGCTTTGTTTTAAATAAACTTAAGTGTAATAGTTTAATCTCAAGTGGTATTTTATTATATATGTCAACACACATTTTTAAACAACTTTTACTGTATTAGCAGTCATAGGAATAGTGTCAAGTACAAGTCCATTCGGGTTTCTGCTGAGTATTCACATCACAGGCTTTCTTAAACAAATATGTGTTTTCATACAAAGATACAAATTTTGTAATTATATACAATGATGGTAGTGGCAACAGACCAAGGGTCTGAAACAAGTGTCTGCATCTTTCATCTGGGGGAACTCCACAAATTGCTCTAATGCATTTCTTTTGTGCTACAAAAGCTCTGTTTCGATCTGTACTATTACCCCATTCTATAAGGTCGTAACGTAAATAATTTTGATAAATTTTATTCATTTTTATCATTGACTTACAATTATATGGACGTCGGGTCCGCGCTAAAAAGTGACCGCACTTAAAAGTGTCCGCACTTGTAAGGCGCTAAAATCGTATACAGAGCGCGACACTCCGCTTTAGTCTTCATTTGTTCTACTGACAGCGCGATACTGCGATGACATTACAATTTAAATTTCGAATAGGTTGACTTGAGACATTTTTTTCGTGGTTTTTGTATTAGACCCGTCATCCATTTATTTGTAAGTCAATGATTTTTATGGATAACTCACGCTTGACCAAGAAATTGACTATGCAAAATTGTTTTCACAAAACAAGGCTTAATGGTTCCTAAGACAGTTTCCTTGTATCTCCTAAGGCTTCGGATTTCCCATACTGTCCCATTTAAAAAAAACACTGTATATTTCATATCATTGCATTCTGTACATAAAAATGTGAATATCTTTTTCAAAACATCTTATTTGTCTATAATTAGTTTTCTTTGCTGTATGTTCATGTCTCTTCAACCTCATTGTTTGATTCCACATTTTGTCTTGTCCATGTTACTTGTGATGTTAGTTTTCATCCATAATTAGTAATATATACAATTACCTATTTTCAGCTTCTATCAAAAGCATCCAGAGACTTAGTGAGTATGGAGAACCAAATGGAGAACAGTGAAGAAAACTTGAAGAAGATGCACCTAATAGCGGTACACATGGGCTATCAGTTTGAGAACATCCATAAATCGGCTGAAATGCTCAATGAGATCAGTGAACAGGTTGCCAGTATGAAGAGATGATAAAAATTGATTTTTTAAAGATTTTTGGCATATACAAAGACTTAACTTCTTAGTCGACATCTTTTAATGGCTATGAATAGCAACTGAAGCTAAAAATCTTTTACTATGGTGATCCCTTCGAAATTGCGAATTAATACGTCAATGCATCCCACTGTTGGGCACGGGTTTCGTCTAAGGAAAGGAGTAGGATCATAGGCCGCCATGCTGGCTCAATATGGGTTGGGGACGTCACATTTTCAAGGGTTGTGAACCTTTGAAATGCAGATTTTTCGCTTGAAATTGGACTATACGTCGTTTATTTATTGTGTTCAAATTTGCAGTTTAATAAAGTGACAGTTAATTCCATGTTCGCTTTACGTTATTTGTTCTGCAAAAAGTAATTATTGCTATGTAAAATCGATAAGGCGCTTTCTTTATATTTTTTTGCGCTCATTAAATTTGAATATTTTCGAAATCGTCTGTAGTGTTGAAAGATGAAGGTGTCGGTTTTTTAAATATATTTTATTTATGGCAATGATACTAAAGTAAACACACAGCCCAATTCAATGTTATCAATTTATTATTATCGCATACTATTTTTTTCACATGTAGGTCAATAAGTATATAAGATCTTTGAGTGACGTCAAAAGCACATGAAACTTGGCACTTTGGACTTGCCGGCACCATTGAGTAGCGAATTTAAATCTTAAGTGTTAAGCTGGATGTCCTCTTAATCTTTTAATATTGACCCCAAATTGCTATCACCGCGTTTAGATTAATGACCGGTTATTAGATCGTCGTTTGCTCGCCCATGTGATATTTATAGCATCGTAATTAAAATAAGTTATGCTTACTTTAGTTTTAGAATTCTTAATTTAGTTTCAAAATGGCCGCCGTAAAGAACCGCGAAAAAATGTCAGATAACTATAGTATTAAAGAAAAAATTCCGATTTAAGATCTGGCAGTAAGGTCGACAGAGGTCTTAGCCTGGGGGTCTACTCTCGATCTCCGTCCGACATCCGTCTGAAACAATTACTGTCAAATAAGTAATATTCGACAAAATTAAAAGACAATTGTCAAGTATGAAGCTTCATTCGCATCACACGTCTTTTCATTTGGTCAAGTATTACTTATTTAGCAGTCATTGTTTAGGACGGATATCGGACGGAGATCGAGAGTAGACCAACTGTCCCGAAGGACTAAAAGTTTTAGTACTAATTATTTATATACTGTGGAGAAAGATGGCGGGATTTTGTAATTACAGTTTTTACACAAATAATTTTTAGTTTAAGTATTTATTAGCTGGTGTGTCTTCAGTTTGCTAATTACCTATTTGTTACATGTTTAAGCTGATGACTCTATAGCCAATACTTATTAAATAGACAATTATGCTTATTGTATTTGTGTACATAGTTATAAACTGAAATTATATTTATTTAGTTACGTTTTCTATTTCTACTAAAAAGATATTGTGTTTCAATTATTATGAAGTAAAAAGAGTCCATTGCTCCTTCCTGCCTTTTTTTTTGTAATCTAGTACCACAACAATAAATAATTTATTTTGTATTTATAGTGGAATGATGACGCGATATTCAAATATATCTCTATTTCTTAGGTAAGTATTCGTAAGGCAAGTTCCACATGTGCCTTATTCCAGCGTGACCACAGTCGAGTTTTTGAAATTTGACTAGTCAGAAAAAAGTCGTTATTTAGTCGGTTCTAGTCGCAAAAAACTAGATTTAGTCGGTCCGCCGTTCAAAAGTTATAAGGGTGTTTTACTGTCCACTATAACTTATACCGGCGGCACCTTTTTTAATTTCGAGAACCACAGCTCCTAGCTTAGATCTGATTGCACCCTGAAAAAGTCGTAAATTAGTCGGTTCTAGTCGCAAAATTTTACAAAAAGTAAATAAATATATTCCTCGTCTTAATGCTGCCTGTTACTATTTTTCGTAAATGAAATAAGAACTACGTAATAACAAAAAATTACGTCCTGGTTTAAAATATTACCTGATCTACTTGATATCCCTCAATTCAGTTAAAAGTTCCACGCGTGTTTCTCGAACCAGGAAGTGTTCGAGTGACGGGGGTTCAATTTTTAAAGCATTCCATGTTATACATTGCATAAGGTATGGTATTTAAACCGACGAACAGACAAATAGTCTACTTGGTAAAAATAGCTTTATCGTCTGTAATTTGGAATGTAATAATAGCAGCAGTGCTGCTTGTGAAATAGATCGTCCACCGAAGTACTGCCAACTTACCTATTAAGCAGTAATGTGAGCATTATTGCGTTTCGGTTTTGAAGGATAAGGGTGCTGGTGAAATTACTGGCACATGGGACTTGTCAACTTATGTCTCAGCGTGACGGGCGCGGAGACAGTGCCTCAGATCAATGCAACTGCTATGGACAGGTGTGTCGTTTACCACCGGGTGTGCGACTTGTTCGTCCCGTCACTTGTAATCATAAAAACAATGTTGAAAGCGTCGACGGCCGTGGTTATTAAACATAATATTAGGGCCACTTATACCATATCTTACATGTTTTAGTGCTGGAACGATTCTTTAAGCAATAATCAAAACCAAACTGTCGGGAAATAGTCATTGAAGTTTCTAGAAGCAAGTCTAAATAAAAAAAAAAAACTAACGTATTCATTTCAATGTGCTGTATGGTCTCAATACATGGTTGAAGACCATTGTATTATTCATAGATCATACACTCTATTGTATTGTTTTTTAGCATCGTACAATATTCTCTAACCCTAAAAGTCGTAATTTGTTTATTACTTAGTTATTTAAATAAATATCTTTCGTGAGACATTCGAAATATTGAATGTCCATTTCTCGGGAATCGAGAGAGAAGTTCGAAATTTTGAAAGTCCGTGCGATCAAAGAATCGATCTCCAGTGAAAGTACTAGGAATCAAGAATGCCTGCCTAACGCCTAAGCCCCGGGCTGGTGCAGTAATGTGTGTCTTTCGTGCAATTTATTTGATGGTCTGATTTCTATGTACTGCAGCGCAGGACGTATTAAGTGCATTGTATTATGATATTACGTAACTGAGGTATCGTCTTTTGTTTCTCGTAATCACGAGTAGCTAGCTTGTTACAGATTGGCTCATAATAGACGTGCTTACGTCATATACCTATAACAAGATGACTTTCTTAATTTTTTGTAACAGTAGCATAATATAGCAACAATTAAGAAGGCTTGTTTTGCTCTATCCATAAGAATTATAGGTAGAGAGTAAGGACTGTCATTCCACGTGTAACAATATAATTGCGGTAGAAATATTGCGCGGTGCTTTTTCACATTGCAGATTTGAAGAGAGACACTGAAACGTGAGAGTGCCGTGCTAAAAGGTCATCGACAAGTGGACTTCTTTCCATAATACGTACAGGTACCTAGCTGTAATGAAAAAGTACCAGGTAACCATGAGTATTAAGGAAGTTGTTCGGGTAGAGTTCGTGCAAACCGCAAACGGAAGCCTAATTCTCCCACTTCCGAAACGTGGCATCGGAAGAGGTGTGGCTTCTAATTGGGTCCGAAATAGGCCATTGAATCAATACTATAGATTTGAATTTATTGTTCATACTGTTTTTTTGTTGTTTACAGGATTTATAATGTGTTAATTTTAGGGTAAGCAAAAGAAAACGGTGTGGTATTTTAATTGGTATATAATTAATGACCGGTAGCGGCTAAATTGATGAAGCACCCAACTACATATTACTGAAGGTCTTTTGACATGGTAACTGACGCACGTTTGAACTAAAGTTCTATAACTTTAGTTCAAACATGCGTACCTATATACGCCGTTACTTCATTACTGGATAATATTATTTAATCCTCAGAGATAATTGATCTATTGTAAATGTGCACTTTTTTAAATAAACGATATATATTTTTATGTTTGATATAATATATTAATTGTTCCATCTATATCAGATGATCTACGGATAAATTATAAATGAACTGCATTCAAAGTAACACTATTATTATGTTTAAGCCATAGATAGATACATTTCCCATATCTATGGTTTTTGCCATGTTTAAGCATACTATAATTTAGTATGCTTAAATATGGCTTATATTATTATATATATATATATATATGGTATTCAAAAAATAATAATTGTTCATCTTTTTTATCATTGGTCATTTCTTTTAGCGCTTGATGATGTTTATAACCAGTATATCTTTTGATATTGATCTCCTAATAAATCTTGGTTGTTTGGTTGCGCCCTCCATTTAGTAGGTTAGGTTAGCCGGATCGAAAGAATTTTTCTTGAGGGGCTGCGGCGGGTGCGATGGGGGCGCCGACGAGTGCAATAGCGAACCCGTACCTCCACCTACAGCGGAGAGAAGGTACACTCCGGGGGTTTAGTGCGGTTGGGCTGCTCCCTTTCAGGGTTCAGCCGGCCGGGGTGTAAGCACATTCCCTCGGGTCAACAAAAAAAAAGGTTAGTGTATAAAAAAGCAGTACGAGACGAGCGAGCGAAGCCAGCGTGACGCGCAGCGGCTGACGAGTGCCGGTAGTCAATTTGCCTACATTTCGGGACATGATTTCAGGGCAAATTATATTATAATGTATTAATATAATTAGTTTTAAAAATAAGTATCTAAATTTTATTTTTATCGCTCATTTGTCTTAGTTTTGAGGTCCTACATAAAACTATCAAAATTAATTTATACAAACATTGACTTACAATTATATGGACGTCGGGTCCGCGCTAAAAAGTGTCCGCACTTGTAAGGCGCTAAAATCGTATACAGAGCGCGACACTCCGCTTTAGTCTTCATTTGTTCTACGGACAGCGCGATACTGCGATGACATAACAATACATAACAATTTAAACTTCGAATAGGTTGACTTGGGACATTTTTTTCGTGGTTTTTGTATTAGATCCGTCGTCCATTTATTTGTAAGTCAATGTATACAAATTAAACATTTTTTTGCGTAGCTCTGAATAGATTAAAATGTCTATCGATTTATTTTATTTTGTGTCTTAGGGAAAGAGGATCAATCATTGAAAAAGATAACTTCAGATTTTTTTCCACCTTTGAAATGATCATTTAAATACATGCCTTCATTACTAATCAGCATTTGCAATGTAATGATGATTTCAGTTGTAGTACCTACACATCGTTCTTTGTTACTGAACCCACATTGACGGCCAGCACCCTTATCACTTCGTCGTACCCAAGAGCTGACGTCGAAAGGCAAGGAGTACGCAATCGCCATGATAGCTTGAGTCAGGTTCTAATAAATAAGTTATTATGTAATTCTAGTAGAACTTTCAGTGTTTTGGTAATGGTTATGGGTTAAATTTTGCTCGACACTCACCGTCGCATCCAATCGCATTGAAGTAGCTACTGTAGGTACGTATGCGTTACCTTGACTGTGGTGCGTACTAGGCGCACAGAGACACGGAGGAGAAGATGACGTAGTGCTAGAACACATTTGTTTTGAATTGAAATCAATAAATTCTTATTAATATTTTTTTAAAAAAAGCGATCTAATATTTGTGAAAATTCGTCTATTTGCCAATTTTTATTGAAATCAATTAAATCCAATAAACCTGATTCATCCCCTAATTTGCCACCCTTGGAGGTGGAATATATTCATCAAATTTGAAAGGGGCCGCTACTGAGATACCCCCTATCCAACATAAAATAATTATCGAATCCGGTCCACAAATATCGGAGGAATTACGTAACATACACAAAAAATACAACTTGATTGAGAACCTCCTCCTTTTCTTGAAATCGATAAAAATCAGACATCGTTTTGACACGTTGTTTGTTTTAGATATCGGTTCAGTATTTAAACCACATTTAATCCATTTGTAGTGTACATTTACTTGGCAAAACTAAGGTCTCTAAGTAGGGAGTGGAGTTGACGTAACAGACAGCCGTAAAAAGCAAATGTATTAATTGAACGCGTACAAAATAGAGTTTAGATGCTAATTCGTA